ACGAGGTCTATGAGCCGTGTGCAGGCGCGTTTGTGCTTATAAACGAGCTCCCCCACCCTCTGGCTTTTAACACCCTGACGATGATGGCAGCAATATAGCCATCGAAAGCTAGGTTATTTATTTATTAAACATTTAATTGTTTTACCTCCTGGTGCTCGTTTTTATCTTTTGAATATATATATATATATATATCAGGTAGCAGTTTTTCTTAAAGTAAGAAGCATGTTCTATCTTGAGTAGCATGTTGGGATTTACAGATCAAAAACAGAAGGGATTATAAGAAAAAAGTAGGTGGAGAGTCAGAAAAAATACGGTAGTTTGTTTGTTTATTTATTTATTTATACAACTTTCTATACCACCCATCACTTCTAGGTGACTCTGGATGGTTGCAAACAATATCTTTTAAATTACATCTAATATAGATCGTGGGCCCTCCATCACTGGAGGTTTTTAAGAAGATACTGGACAGTCACTTGTCTGAGATGGTATAGGTTCTCCTGCTTGAGTGGGGGCCTGGACTAGGTCCCTTCCAGTTTTATTCTATTCTATAGATACACTAAAAGTAAATACAGCTTTAGATAATGATATAGATAGATAGATAGATAGATAGATAGATAGACAGACAGACAGACAGACAGACAGACAGACAGACAGACAGACAGAGACAGACAGCTGAAGGGGGCATGGGACAGCATAGAAAACTGATTCAGTTTTTCGCGCTGTTCCATGGAAATTGAAATTCTGTGCAGGTCTGTCATTAAAGGTCTCCTTGCACTTCCACCTAATCATGGCATAAACATACCCTGGTGATGTTTTTCTGTTGTGCCCCCATGTGGCATTTTTCTTCTCATTCCCAACTCATGAACAAATAAGGCTTAAGATGTCCTTAGCAGTACTGTGTAAAAAAAAGTATTTCCCCCTTTTCTGCCTTTCAATTCTGCTATTGAAAGGCTTCAAGGTAGGTAAAATCTCTAAGGTGTTACCACTCTTGAGCAACATCAACAACATGCAGCAAATGGGAACAGAGGAAATAGGTGCACAATTGAAATTGGAAACAGAGACAATAAATTTAGATCTGTTCCCCCCAACACAAACATGGTTGTAATCTCCATGATCTGGTGAGGTTATCCAGGCTTGTATTCTGATTCTTTGGATATTGTTGCAGTGTTTGAGTTTATTATTAATATTTGAAGTTGTCATTTCAATGATTCAATTGCTTTTTTAGTTATTGGCAGCAACCTTAATTAGATTATTGGATTGTCCCATCTTCTATACTGGACACTACACTGATTCAGAAACTAGCCATATGGGTTGGGTCCCCAGAGCTTCCCTATAGTACAGTGGTTTTCAACCTGTGGGTCGGGACCCCATTTGGGGTCGAACGACCATTTCACGGGGGTCGCCAAACAAGGCTGTCCGCCATTTCCCCCCCCTTTTCTTTGGCCATGCCCCTGGCACCCGGTGATGTATAAGTGCTTGGGGGTCACCACAACATGGGGAACTGTATTATGGGGTTGCGGCATTAGAAAGGTTGAGAACCACTGCTATAGTAGATGCTAAACGATCATCCAGCAACTTTTGCTTCATTAAAAACACACACACAAAAAACCAATCTTGTTTGTGTCCCCTGGAGAAGGAGGACCTAGGGGAATGATGGTCATTTTATGACTTGTGAACTTTCTCCCAGAAATCTTGAGCATGTTGGCTCAGGAATTCTGGGAGTTGAAGTCCACAAGTCATAAAAGTGCCATCGTTCCCCACCCTTGATGTAGGGGAATCTCTCAGTCTGTCCAGGATGGAAGTACCTCCCTTCTGAAGATGATTCCAAGTCTGTTTAAGCAGATGTCTGAGTTCTTCTGAGTGGCGAGGAAATTACATTCACCACAGTGCTCAGCCACAAAACTAATGAAGTTCATAATACTCAAGGCCAGTGTTTCTCAACCTTGACAATTTTAAGGCATGTGGACTTCAACTCCCAGAATTCCACAGCCAGCATTGCTGGCTGTGGAATTCTGGGAGTTGAAGTCCACATGCCTTAAAATTGTCAAGGTTGAGAAACACTGCTCAAGGCTAAGTCTAATAAAGCAACTTGTTCAAATGCTGAGTTTTATCTGCTCTGATTAAAACTGTTGCTATATGAATGCAAAGAACTTTTACCACTAGAGGAGTGATTTATGCTGACATGTTAAACATATTTGCTTGAAAATAATACAGTAGAAAAGAACATCCTTAATATAACCACTCACTTCTTCCAGCACTTAACCAAAGGCAATTTCTAATAGCAATAAATGGCAAACTGTAAAAGTGAAGGAAGTGAAGAACAAGTCATATAATACTGTAGATGGAGACTGGGAAAAATCCAACGCTCAATCTCTGTCTCAAGACATCATTGCTAATATTTATCTCCACTTCAACACAGTACAATAGCACTAATGCTAACCTCTTCTGTACAATATAATATTGCTGATATTAACTTAGCCTCCATTTCTCCACAATACATTATTTCTAATCTTAACTTCTATTGTGTATTTTCAATAGAAGTAAGTGTCTGTACGTTCTGTGGTTAAGTCTAATGACTGGGGGATAGTTATTTGGAATGGCTCTTCAAGAAGATTTTTTCAGAGGTATATCTCAGTTATCCTCACCATAATGCTTTCCTGAGAAATGCCTGATTTCAGATGAAGTGGGGTCTCCTCATACACTATGGGAATTCCAGTTTCTGACCTATCCAGTTTGTGGATTTACATTGCTGCTGCTACTGCAATATGAGCATAAGTAAGAGATGCCATCCACCACATAATTCTGAATGTTCATTAACATTGCAGACATGAACCCCCCCCATATATGCTTTCCTGAGATAAAAACACTTACAGATGTCTTCATTTAGCAACCACAATTGGGAGCCACAACTTGGTCCTTAAGCAAAGTAGTCACTAAGTAAAACTGCGACTGTGCTTACAATCTTTGGTTTCCTTTGCTTTACAGACCTGTGAAGGTTGTAAATGTGAGGATTGGTTAGAAAGTTTCTTTTTCATCATCATGGTAACTGCAGTGGTCACTAAACAAGGCAGTCCCCAAGCAAGGACAATTAATTTAAGTCAAATTTAGTTTTCCCCTGACTCCTCCTCTTTTTGGAGCAGGGTCCCTGGCATGTCACCTCAAGGGCAAGTGCTGTCCTTGAAACAAAAGTTATGTGCTCCTATCCTATGATGTTTTGAGGTAGAATCCTAGAATTGGAAAGAGCCATTTGGACCACCAAGTTAAAGCCTGCGAGAGAGATACCTGTTTAGTCTCCTCTTCCACATAAACCATCAATCCTCTGGTTCCACTATTGAATTGCTCTTACTGTTAGGAAGTTTTTTCTAATGTTCAATTGGAACTTTAAATCAGTGTCTTATATCTTACTCTCTAGAACACTGTTTCTCAACCTTGGCAACTAAGATGGCTGGACTTCAACTACCAGAATTCCTTAGCCTGGCTGCAGAATTCTGGTAGTTGAAGTCCAGATATCTTAAAGTTGCCAAGGTTGAGAAACACTGCTCTAAAATGAGAGTGCACAAGTACTGACCTTCTATATATCCTTTCAAATATTTGAAAAATGCTAGCATCTGTCCCCTCATCAATCTTTTCCTGAGTGGAAACGTACTCAGTTCCTTCAAGTCTTTTCATAGGGACATTCCTTTGTCCAGTTACTGTGAACCCTCCTGAAAGTATTGTGTTCAGAACTGAATACAAGTAGAGATAGTCCTTGATTTACAACCATTTGTTTAATAACTGTTCAGAGTTACAGTGGCACTAAAATCCCGGGATCATATGATTAGCTTTTGTGACTTTCTGACAAGTATGAAAAATGGTCATAAGTGACTTTTTTCAGTGCTGTTGTAACTTCAAATGGTCATTAAATGTATGATTGTAAGTTGAGGACTACCTACCGGTATGATGAGAAATTCATACATTATATTTTTCATTTTAGCTGCAAGGAAAGTATTTTCCTAATTATTTAAATGATTGCCTTGATGCACACACATCATCCACACTTATGACTATGGATAAAAGCATCTTTGTTGCAGGGATTCACATAAATATCACGGTCAAATATTCTTTTACTTCTGAGCGTGTAGGTTTGAACCTGGAGCCTTTGTGGACTTCTTGTGCACTTTTCTCTCTGCCTTATCTATCTTTTGCTCCTTTCATCCCTCATTCCAACACCTGCCTTGCCCAATGTACTCGACTCAGGGAGAGGAGTAGAAGGAACCATAGCTGTCCTGGAAGACTCCAAGGAGATGCAGCCCATTGAAGCAGAGATGCCTTTTCCTAATGCCCTGAAAGAGGGTGCTAATCCCAGCCACTTTGGGCAGGCTGAAGAGCCTGCTAGCCTCCCCCAGGAGCACACAGTAAGAATTTTGCATACACAATGGAATTTATCCTGAGTTTTCCTCTGCAGACCCCAGTTTAATCTCCTCTTACCCCAGTCTGTGTTCGTATCCTTAGGATATGACTCTTTTTGAACTATCCTTTATCTTCCCAGTAGTGCAAATGATAACGTGCATGTATTATTTACGGGTCAAAAGAAGCTCCATGATTCTTATCTTTCCTGCCTGGAATTTGTGGATATTCATTTGACATGACTGCATAGTAGTCAGTTGTTAAAAAACAACAACACCTTTTTGATACTAGGCTATCCCAGAATGTTCTTGACAGGAATTACTGATCAGAGAAAAGAATTAGAGGATATTTCTGTAACAAAAAATTAAATAAGCATGTTAGAGTTTTACGTATGTGTGAATAAAAAGAAAGAAGAATACCTTGCTGCTTTTGAAACAGTCACTGGAAAGGGAAGAATCCTGGAGCATAATATTAGAAATCAATACTACACCATGAACAAAGACCTGCAAATAGCAAGATGGAAAGGTAGCTGAAAGGGTATGACATTGAGGTCCATCTCTTCACACAAGTATTGTTTTTTGTTTTTATTTTCTCCCACAATTTCTCCTGCCCAGATAAAGCAATTTCTGAAGGAAGACTCAGAAGAAGCTGAGCTGGTCCAGTTCCTTAAGGATTCCCCACCTGAAAAGACCTTCCATCGGGTGAAGCCAGAAGATATCCATCAGGAGAAAAGATCCAGTCCTTGTGGGACTGAAATGTTCCCTAGTGCTGCAGTCCAGGCCATTCCCAAAGATGCCTTGGAGGAAAAGGAGCAGAAGGCCTTCTACCGCCCTCATCCTCTAGATTTGAAACAGCAACACATGGCTGCTCCAGCACCGCCAAGCCCATCCCGTCCCAGAAGCCCCTGGGGCAGGCTTGACCCATATGAATCAGATGAGGTAAAGCATCTCTATGAGCGTTTCTTCCAGAACCCTCCATCTTCCACCTCCTTCAGAATCTCTTTTTTGTAGAACTGGACATAGGATTATGATCATGGATCTTTGAATGTACAGAAATATTGAACCCAGATTCCTCATCTCTATTGATGGGAGTATTTTGCTTATGATGTGGAGTAAGCTTCTTCTAGAAACAATGTTTTGGTGTGCTTCAGATGCTATAGTAATAAGCATCCCCAAATGATGCTTTTCAAGCTGGACAGATTATCAGTGACATTCCCATGTTGGAGAAAGCACAGAAATAAAACAAGGGCTATTTTATTAATCAGTTGATGACTCACTGACATGAGCAGTGAGTGTATAAAGGCCCAGAGGTCCATTTCCTGAGTCTTGTATAGAAGATTTATGCCATTCATAAAAATGCTTTGATAAAAAATGTTTCTCGCCAGTGATACAATTCTTGTATTCACCCAGTGTGTTTAATCAAAACAAGTTAAAGACTGAGTGGGTGAATTTGCACAGCATGTGAAGTTTAGTTACTTTTTTAAAAATTTATTTGTGGTATAGAAACTAAGCCTATTTAGTTAATATTATTAGTACATTATATGAACTCAGAAATAGATTAATTCTGTAACCAAGTTAAATTTATTGTGTGAATAACTTTTAAAAACCTGTTTCAAACAAATGATTCTTGCAAAAAGCCTGGCAATTTGTAATACTGCTTTTTTTCTCCTCTTTTTCCTCTCAGGATGATAAAGAGTATGTGGGATTTGCAACACTTCCTAATCAGGTCCATCGGAAATCTGTGAAAAAAGGATTTGATTTCACACTAATGGTTGCAGGTATCAATGCTGAAGTTGCAAGGGCTGTTTCAGGAGACAGTATATAATTGTTGCTGATTAAAAGCATATTATTCATGGCAGAAAACTATAATTAAAACTAAATTTCATTTGCCTTATGTTTAGGTAATGTGTGTATAAAAGTCTAAAAGAGGAAAATATATTCAGTTGCATTTGATCTATGACAGTGGTTCTCAACCTGTGGGTCGGGACCCCATTTGGGGTCGAACGACCATTTCACGGGGGTCGCCAAACAACGCAGTCCGCCATTTTTTTGCCCCTTTTCCTTAGCTGTGCTACTCTCTTTTATTCTATTGGCTTTTGAAAGCCAATAGAATAGACTCTCTTGAATAGAGTCTAATTCTATTGGCTTTCAAAAGCCAATAGGAATTGTCCAGGCTGTCTCTGCCCTGCTGAGCCCGCCAAAAGTCCCATTCTGCAAACGGTGCTGCACTAGTTGCGTAGTCCTCGACTTACAACCGGTTGAGTAGTCCTCAACTTACGATCGGTTGGGGATCGCGGCATTAAAAAGGTTGAGAACCACTGATCTATGAGATCTTAGAAATAATTCCACAGTATTTTTATTGGATTGGATTGTAAAGTTGGATTTCTTAGCATTCTTTGTGAACTGATAGACAGTCTAAGCTGCAGATGCCGAAGAGCTAGAAATAGGAAGATTGGCTTTAACTATACGAACTTGCTATGCAAATTGCCACTGCTTGTTTTCTTTATTTAAAGAATTCCTGTTAATTTAAAGTATTCCTCACATTTGTCTCTTTTTCCTTCAGAAAAATTGTTTTCTTAAGAATTCATTTTCTTTATATGTAATATTAACTGCTCCTCCTCTTCCTCCTCAGGAGAGTCTGGGCTAGGGAAGTCCACTCTGGTGAACAGCCTTTTTCTTACAGATCTATACAAAGATTGTAAACTCTTAAATGCAGAAGGTATTTTTTTTTTGTTTATATGTTCCTTTATGCTTCTTATCTTCCAACTCTTAATACAGTGTTTCTCAACTTTGGCAACTTTACGAAGAGTTGACTTCATCTCCCAGAATTCCCTGCCAGCATATGCTGGCTGGGGAATTCTGGGAGATGAAGTCTCACTCATTTTAAAAGTTGGAGAAACACTGTCTTAGCAACTCACAAACAAAAACCACAATACTATAATAGAAAATAGAAAAAAATATAATAACTGTAAAACAAACAGCAGACCATCAGCCAATTCAAATAATCATAAAGCAAAACTATGTAATGGTGATACTAAGCCTGAAAGATGAAAGATTCGCAAGCCTCAGCTCCTAGAAGTACTTTGGATCATTGCTCCTTAGCTCCACTTTCTTTCTATTGATTAGTTAGGCCTGTCTTCCAGGAGGTAATCTATTCTTGGTGAGGCAGGCAGGGCTCCCACAGCCTGTGCGCCTTACCAGCAAATAAAAATAAATTGATAAAATGAAATAGTTCCTGTAATTGCTAGTCCTGACAGTATAGTGTGAAGTGTGTGACTAAGGAAGTCAGTTTCCTTCTCCTTTGAAAGACGAGTTTTACAGAAAGGTTAATTTTATTTTATTTTAAATGAAAAGGAAAATAGTAAAAGTTCCTTTTTTTTAATTTTAAGCAGTCATGTACAAAACAGAGTTAAGTAGAGAGCTGTGAATTCACAGACATTTCCAAATAATCTCCAATAGGAAAACTATGGTATTGGCCTGTGGCCAATTCTGCAACAAATATTCTGCAGTATTTCTAGCTCAAACCTATTACTTACTCCTTAGAGATAACTAGATCATTGCAACAAATGTCTCCTGCATGCGTTCTCTGGATTTTTCAGATTCTGTTAAATTCCAGCTTTTAATCAAAGATGCAGGAGCAGTGCTCTTTTACACAGCCAAACATTTCTGAGAATCAGGAAGGAGGAAGGAGATCTTGTTTCTGATGGAAAGGCATTCCTTTAGAGACCTTATTCTTGCATAGTTGGCATTTCATTTGATTTGAAACTTTGCAAATACACCCTCTCCGATTCTCCTTTTTCTATCTTGGGGGGGCTAGAACGGATTGTCCAGACTGTGGAGATTACCAAGCATGTGGTAGACATAGAGGAGAAAGGGGTGAAACTTCGCTTGACCATCGTGGACACACCAGGCTTTGGAGATGCTGTAAACAACACAGAATGGTATGTCTCCCCAGAAAGTGGAAAGGACTTTGCCTGAGGAAAGCCTTATTGCAGAATCATGGGAAATTGTAGGGAGGGAATCCTATTAGGCATTTCTTGCAGGGATGAGCTAATCCTTGGAAGGAGGCCAAGACTATGGTAAAAATAATCTGCAAGAGACAAAGGCCAGCTGGCTGGAGGACAGGTAAATCCTGCTGCAGGCACTAGGAAGAAGAACTGAGTCTTGCCCAAGAGGGAGTCTTTTTTACATGCATTGTTCATCTGGGGCTCAAATGTGAATTTTGAAAGTCTGATAATAGTCATTAAAAAAAATTAAAACATGCGCTAGAAAGGAATTCCTGTCTTACTGGTGTTACATCAGATCTTGAGGAAATTATATATTGTGGTCCCTTCTGGTGGTGTCCAAATACAATTGTGTGCCAGATGCCATACAAGGAGAAGGAAGGGATTTCTCTCTTCCTGTAGCTCTTCTGAAGTATAGTATTGCTTCTGTTAACCTGGTTAATAATTAAAGAGAAACAAGGGATATTTATAAAATGAGTCACCAAGTTTACCTTGTGTGCTTAAGAATCCAGTACATGTCATTGTCTCAGATATCCAATAGTTCTGAGTCAGGATTGACCTCAACGCCCACCTCAACCCTCTTGCTGCCTTACATAAAGATAAAAAGCTAGAGTTGCCCAGAAAAACAAGGCTTTTCTAGGCCTTTTGTCTCTGTTTGTTTTTTTCCTTTTCAACTCCCCAGAGATATAGATAAGTGAGAGGGTGGTATGGGCAGAAAGAGGAAGGGGGCATCCTGACCTCAGGCTCTTTCTTTGCTTAAGCCATTGCTAATTTTAAAAATCACATGATAGCAAAATAATGCGTAGGATCATCCAATACAGATTAGAGCCCTCTGTGGAAAAAGAGATGCCAGATGTTCAAGCTGGCTTTAGAAAAGGCTGAGGAACATGAGATCATCGTTGCTGATGCACGCTGGTTAATTGAGAACGCCAAATACCAACAAGAAGTTGTTATGTTCTTCATTAGTTATAGAAAGGTCTTTTGTGTATATCACGTCAAACTGTGGAATGTGCTTAGAAAAATAGGAATCCCAGAACAACTCATTGTCCTTATGAGTAACTTACAGGTAGTTCTCACTTACTGATTACCTCATACAGTGACTGTTCAAAGTTTGACAGTATTAAAAAATAATTTTGCAACTGATTTATGATGGTTGCAACGTTCATCAGTTATGTGATTGCTGATTATGTGTTTCGCCACTGGCACACATTTTTGCTTCTGACAAGCAGAGTTAACACTGTAGTGCAGAAGGCAGAAGTATAATCTCAAGAGTAGGCCACCCATGATTTTGGACTAGGCCACATATGATTTGGAAAGGGGCCTGGCACGGTCTCGGGAAGAAGACCTGGTGCAGTCAGCAACTACCTCATGAAGGCCTAGGCCAAGCATTTCAGTAGCAGCAGGAATTGAGGGCAGCAAGACTGGCAGAAATGGCAGGAGCATTGAGTGCAGGGCAGTGGGATGACAAGGTGGCAGGCGGAGAGCAGGGTGAGAGGGCTGACAGAGGTAGCATAATGCAAGGTGGCCAAAAGGGCAGAGATGTGGAGGAAGATTGGGAGGGGGGAGAAGAATTGAAGAGGAAGTGACCAGACCAGGAATGGCTTAGATCAGGGTAGATCCTTGGAATCTTTGGGATTCAGTTAATCATAGCAACTGGCATTGCCATCTATAAACAATGTGATCACATGACATCATATTTTGGAACTGCATCACTTAGCAATGGAAAGTCCAGTATTTGAGGGGCTGCACAAAGAAGAGGGCGTCAAACTATTCTCCAAAGCACTAGAGGGCAGGACAAGAAACAATGGTTGGAAACTGACCGAAGAGAGAAGCAACCTGGAATTAAGGAAAAAGTTCCTAACAGTGAGGACAATTAACCAGTGGAACTGCTTGCCTTCAGAAATCGTGGGCGCTCCATCACTGGAGGTTTTTAAGAAGAGACTAGACAGTCACTTGTCTGAAATGGTATAGGGTCTCTTGCTCGAGCAGGGGGCTGGACTAAAAGACCTACAAGGTCCCTTCCAGCTCTATTCTATTCTAAATTCTGGTTCCAATTGCTGCTGTAATTCACGGACTGACACTTTTCAACTTTGGTGTTGGAGAAGACTCTTGAGAATACTATGGACAGCCAAGAAATAAACAAATGGATCATTGAACAAATCAACCAGAGCTCTTACTTAAGGCACAAATGACTTGGCTCAGTTATCCTATTTTGGGACATTATGCAAAGTCCTAGCCTTCTGGAGAAGATTCTGATGCTGGGAAAGGAGGAAGGAAAGAGGATGACCAGCAGCAAGGTGGATAAACTCATTTGCAGTGAGTGACAACGAGTGCACTGTTGGAAGACCTGGAGGACCAAGTTAGGGACAGGTCTTTCTGGAGAATATCTATGTGGTTGCTAAGAGTCAGTACCAACTTGATGGCACATAATCAGTTTAAATGTTTTTGAAAGGTGGCTGAAATCCTGTCAGATATAATTTCTTTCAAAATAACTGGAGCATTTTTTTCATTCCTGAGGTCATTTGATATCATAGCAGTGGATAATTTGATTTCTGGTAGATTGAGTGAGCTGTGTTGATGTTTCAGAGAGACTGCTGCATCTCTAGAACAATTGTGAACCAGCAGGAGACTTCTGAAAGGAAGGGAGATATTTAAATTTATCTCCACAATGGCTTATCAGGCATGAACACATTAGAAAGCCTACTGAACTACACTAAACAGTCCCCCCTTCCCTCTGCAAGAAGAAATGTTCAAACTTTCACCCTTGCTTCCATCCTATCATGCTGGCATGAATGTACTGCTTATGGATGATCAGTGGACAAGTGTGTGACTCACCCAAGAACTTACATGGAGACTGGCAGAGGTGGCATTCAAATGAAAAAAAGAATGTAACCTACCATATTAGTTAATTGTGGATTGCCAGAAAATAGATCTGGATATAGATCCTCGGATGATTTGCAAAAAATTGTCAGGGATTTCCTAATTGTCCCAGCCCTGTACTATATTCCTGGTATGAAACACCATTTAGGATATCCAGTTCTGGAATCTCAAATTCCTTGACTCAGCATTTTTAAAATTCAGTGTGATATTTACAGTTTTGATTGTGCAAACATGATGGCTGCCTCCCTTTCTAAACTATGTTCTCTTTCTTTCCCAGTTGGAAGCCTGTGGCTGATTACATAGATCAGCAGTTTGAGCAGTATTTCCGGGATGAAAGTGGCCTTAACCGGAAAAATATTCAAGACAACCGTGTCCATTGCTGCCTCTACTTCATCTCTCCTTTTGGTCACGGGTATGAATTAAACCAACCTACTCATGATCCTGGAACATGCTTTTTCTTAAAAAAAAAAAAAGTTGACTAAAGACTTGGTGACTGCCTTGATACCTAAAAAAACTCTTAGCAGGTTTTTTTTTCTGGCCCAGCCCTTTTAACCTCATGGTCTCCAATATGCAATCCCTGGTTTTCCAGCCTGGAAGTTATATATGGTTAGACTGCTCCACAACCAGTAAAGGCTATGCACAATTAATATTGTATCTATTCACATAGAAGCCAATTCACAGATAAGCCAATCCTTGATTTTTTAACCAAAATACCATGAAAAACACATCACCTGTGGATAAATTGGCCTGTATTTTTCATAATAGTTTGATTACAAATTTGAGGGTCTACATGTCTGCAGATGGGCTTATCTTCAAATAGTTATATGGGAACTATGGGTACTTTTTAAAAGTACAGCATTATTGTATATACTTGAAGATAAGCCCATCCATGGATAAACAGAAACTGATTTTTAGATGCATTATAGCACTTAAAATTCTCAGTTTATCTGGGACAATTGATAGTGATTTTACATCATGACATGGCTTTCCTCACTGGATGCTGGACACTGAGGTTAAAAGAGAAGAATTCTCTGATAGGGTCCTTGCTCCATAGAGTTCAAATTCTTGAAATCCTTCAGATTGATAAACCCAATTAGGATCTAGAATAAAGATGTCTATCCATGAAGGGTTAAAGTAATTGGAAAAGACTCCTCTAAGTTGTTGGAAAACAGCAAAAACCTTCAATATAGGTAATTCTAAAATGTGTGATCCAAATGGTATAATGCTTAAAGGATATACTTCTTTTAATGTTGCCTCCTCCTGGAAGTTGGAGTATCGTTTGTTCTGCAGATGTTACTACATGAAATAAGAATGTCACATCTTTGCCAAAAACATAGATTTTTCAGTCAGGATATGATACATAACACAGTTCTATCTTTCTCTTTAATGTTTCCTTATATAATTAATTAAAATACTGTAGTTATTTTTGTGGAGTATCATTGATTTCCGCCAAATAATTGGTACAGATTCTAGCACATGTCAGACACCCCACTTTTTTTTTGCTTATTGGCCAAAAAAGAAGCAACCTCTTTCCACAGCTCCCAGGTTTTCTATAGTGAACTCTTGTCTGCTCTCGGCAGTTTGCGACCACTGGATGTTGAATTCATGAAAGCTCTCCATCAGCGGGTGAACATTGTCCCTGTCTTGGCCAAGGCTGACACTCTCATGCCCTCCGAGGTGGAACGAATGAAGTGCAAGGTAAAAGAGGAGATTGGAGCAAACTTGAGGACACTCACTTCCATGAACAATGTACAAAAACAACAGAATGCATTGAGATAGATAGAGTAGTAACCTAAGCAAGACAAATTGAAAAAGAAAAACAAAATAGAAAAGGAAACATGGAACAACCTGCCTCCAGAAGCTGTGGGTGCTCCAACACTGGCAGTTTTTAAGAAGAGACTGGACAGCCATTTGTCTGAAATGGTATAGGGCAGTGATGGCAAACCTTTTAAAGACCGAGTTCCCAAAAACTGCCCCGCCCCCTGCCCCCATCGCTCCACCCCGCCTGCTCCACCCCCGCCCCACCCCCACCCCACCTGCCAGGCCACCTACCATCTCCACAGCCTGCCGCAGATCGCTCAGGCAGCTCTACTGCACCATGATGGCCATGCCCTTCATTCACGCCCCGCATCATCTGCGCACAATGGGGCACGAGGGCGGAGTCTTGTCCCTGTTGCCCAGCTGCCATATGGTCCTCTGGGAGGGCTGCTTATGAGGGGGCTGCGGGGGGAGGTAGGACTGGGGCGATGGTGCACATGCCCACAAACGGCTCTGAGTGCTGTCTCTGGCACGCGTGCCATAGGTTCGCCATCACTGGTATAGGGTTTCCTGCCTGAGCAGAGGGTTGGACTAGATGGCCACCAAGATACCTTCCAACATTATTGTTGTTGTTGTTGTTATTATTTCCAACATTTCGAAATTGTTTCTTAAATATAAAAGTATTAAGTACAGGTAGTCCTCATTTTATGACCATAACAGAGACCAAGGAAATTCATTGCTAAGCAGTGCGGTTGTCAAGTGACCCATATGTGACTGCAGCTGGCAGTCTTGCTTTCTGGCTTCCCCATTGACTTTCCTTGTCAGAAGCTGGCTGGGAAGATTACATGATTGTAGAATACTATGACAGTCATAAATGCACGATGGTTGCCAAGCACCTGAATCATGATCATGACTGTGGGGACACTGTTTGTGTGAGTGCCAGTGGTAAGTCCCTTTTTTCAGTGCCATAACTTCAAATGGGTGGTTGTAACTCCAGAGCTACCTGCATATACTTACACAACCCATTGCAATTCAGATTTTAAATGCTGAGTTAAATGTAGGCCATAAGGAATCATACCATCTTGTGCTTCAATCTGAGATTCTTCTGTTACACCCCCTCTTCCTCACAGTGAGTTTGTCGTGTATTCCAGCTCAATCCTCCCTCCCTCTCCAACTCCCCACCCCCCCCCAATATCCAGACTCTGTGACATTGTGAAATCTGTATTCTTTTTAAAATTAACAAACAGATGACTTTCAGTCTCTCCCTCAAAGTGAGCACATATATTTTATGAGAAACTCAGTGAGGATGAAGAATTGGGGGGTATGGTACTGATTGAACGCTTTCTTCATTCCCCTGTTTGCTTTCTGGAAGGCCCTGATTGGCTCATGAAGAATTCTGGGAGTGGCAGTGGGTGCCCACGTTCATGCATTTGGTCTATAGAATATAAGGAATCAAGGCTATGATTGAACTTCATCGGCTGCTGGCATGTTCCTCTGTTCTAGATTCGTGACGAAATTGATCGTTTTGGGATCCGGATCTACCAGTTTCCTGAGTGTGATTCAGATGAAGATGAGGAATTCAAGCTGCAGGATGAAGCACTCAAAGTGAGGGATTACCAAGAGTGGATATTGGGATCCATTGGTTCTGCTAGATGTACCTGATTGTGTTAGAACAAATTCAGAAGAAAACCTGGTTTTCCCCACTCATATTCCACATATGCTGATTCTTTGACTGTAAAGGAACTTTTCGTAATATTTGAAAACAGTATGTTTCATATTTGCTAGCCTTTTTAAAATTAAGGCATGCGTTCCAAGTCGGACATGTATCTCTAATTCTAGTTAAGACATACGAAAGAGAGGCAGCTAGGCTTGGATTAAACTCTTAGCCTAAGGGCGCTATCTAACAAAATGAAATTCAATGGTGAAAAAAGTAAGGTTCTACATTTAGGCAAGAAAAACCAAATGCACAGGTATAGTATAGGGGGTACCTTGCTCAATAGTAGTAACTGTGAGAGGGATCTCAGAGTCCTAGTGGACAATCATTTAAATATGAGCCAGCAGTGTGCTGCAGCTGCCCAAAAAGCCAGCACAGTGCTAGGCTGCATTAACAGAGGGATAGAATCAAGATCACGAGAAGTATTAATACCACTTTACAATGCCTTGGTAAGGCCACACTTGGAATACTGCATCCAGTTTTGGTCACCACAATGTAAAAAAGATGTTGAGACTCTATAAACAGTGCAGAGAAGAGCAACAAAGATGATTAAGGGACTGGAGGCTAAAACATATAAGAATGGTTGCTGGAATTGGGTATGTCTAGTTTAATGAAGAGAAGGACGAGGGGGGACATGATAGCAGTGTTCCAATATCTCAAGGGTTGCCACAAAGAAGAGGGAGTCAAGCTATTCTCCAAAGCACCTGAAGGCAGGACAAGAAACAATGGATGGAAACTAACCAAAGAGAGAAGCAATCTAGAACTAAGGAGAAATTTCCTGACAGTTGAAACAATCAGTGGAACAATCTGCTTCTAGAAGCTGTGAATGCTCCAGTACTGGAAGTTTGTAAGAAGAGACTGGACAGCCATTTCTCTGAAATGGTATAGGGTTTCCTGCCTGAGCAATGGGCTGGACTAGATGACCTCCAAGGTCCCGTCCAACTTTTTTATTATTATTAAAATATTTTTTTTCGGCCTTCTCCCATGCCAGATAGTGATGCTCATGATTTAATGCAGACTTCCCCAGCCTGGTGTCCTCCAGGTGTGTTAGGACTGTAGAATGTCAGCCAGGATGCACCTAGAGACAGAGAGCAGGCTGGGTGTCAAGCTTGTTTAAAACTGCTACAGTCCTTATAAATGGGTCCTCAGTTTGTAATCCACCGGCCATTTTTTAAATCACTTTTTTCTATTTTATTGTTGTAAGCTACCCAGAGTAGTGAGATGGGCAGCAATAATAAATTTAACAAACAAAATTTAACAAATAATAAATTGTACTTTTTTTGCTGCCTGGCCTGAATAACTTAAAAAGAAGAATCCCTTAATTTAAACAAATAAACGAAAGAAAATTGGTGGATTGCAAAGCAGTCATGCATCATGTGTATTTACTGCACAACAGGGATCAGCTCTTTTCCAAACCACTTCCTTTTTTTGAAGCCTTCAGACTCTGCTCCCTCTTATGCTGACAAATTTGATGGTGCAGTTGATGATGATGCAGTTTCCTTGTATCTTTTTGAGGAATGCTGTCTTTTGTCACTAAATATATGTGAAGTAGTGAAGATTGGGGAAGGTCCCTGCCATCCGGTCTGACTCCTAATTGTCACTGTTCTGCAGGACAGCATCCCCTTTGCTGTGATTGGCAGTAACACCATTGTGGAGATGAAAGGCAAGCGGATCCGTGGGAGACTGTACCCTTGGGGAATCGTTGAAGGTAACCTATAGCTCCTTGTGGCAGTGTGGCTCAGTAAACTGGGGACTACAGCTAATGGGCCAACATTGATTCAATACGGAATTCGGCAAAAATGTTCCATGCTCCCCTAGTTTGAATTGACATCCAATTACTGATGCTCTTGTGGGATGGAAATACAAAATATTGACTTTGGCAGCATAATGTCTTAGCTTTGGCAGTAGAAATCAATAAAAGCTTCCTGTCCCCAAGCATTAAATTAGTCATTTTGTAGGAAGCGTGGGTTGAGTATGGTAGTTTTGCACCATGTGCCCAATATCTTGTTGGAAAAATCAGGAGGTGGGGATGAGGGAGAATATTGACAAGATGCCACCTCTTGGCAATCCCAATATTTTATTACAGGGGCATTCCCATAAATTGTCAAAAAAGTCAAGATGGTGGGCACAACTACCCAATCAAAGCCAGATGCCTTTTTTAAAATGCATTGCATGTTGCACTTGACAACACAATGGGGCTTCAGTTGTGTAGTTGTGCTCTTCTTGACCCTTATTATCACCGCTGCAGATGTCCTCAGTGTAGATGTGGGAGGCAAAGAACAAGGTGGCATCTCTTCTATCACATCCAAAAACCAAAGGGACTGGTTGTTGAATTGTTCTTCTGTGTTATAAATAAGATTGCCTCCTTTGGTGCATTGAAGGCAAAAGGCTAATTTAGAGGCAAAGCAGGCTGTGCAGCAAACATCCTTTCCTTTCTGCTGTGTCCTGGCACCTGCTGTCTGAGGTGGCTGCTTCAGTCTGTTCCAGGGTAGAGCCAACCCTGGTCCCATCCTATCCTTTTATCCCTGTTGGTCTTGAAAAATCCACTGTTAAAGCTTGGATTTGAAGTACGCTGAATTTCAAGATTTGTTGTATGCCTAAAAAATAAATTGGTGTCAAACATAGCTTGGGAAAGCCAATAGGTAGGTGAGTAGGGAATGAGAGGGAGAGAGATTGAGAAAATATATAATCTTTCTTGATAATAATACTATAGATGAGACCCCTCAAAAAAGCTAAACTACCTAAAATGCTGATGAGTCAAGGTGCTGAATCTAACAACTGCTTTAAAATGTTCTTCAGTTTATTACAGGGGAGGGCCTGTCCACAAACCCTACTGGCAGCATAGATAGATGACCTTTGGCAAATCAGCTTTAGGAAAACTAAAACAATACTTGCAATGTTTGTTATAAGGAGGTACTTTTTTTGCATTTTTGTAATAAGGAAAAAGGGGAGAGATGGCATTAACAAATCCCAGCAAAATCACTTGAAGCTGATCATTGTGTGTATACATATGAAAATATTTCCTCCAAATGTGCGGCTGGGAGTTGCGTACTCTTCAGACTCACTTTGTACTGTAAGTCTTATCTTGAAGTGGCCTGGTCTCTCTGGAGTGCAGACTCCTGAGAACGTAAGAGGAGCCAAAAGGCTACAAGCAAAATAGGAAACAAAAAGCTTTCTTTCATGTTTTGCCTGCCAGTCTGCACATTCAGCCATTCCCCAGACAGGTTCCATTTCACTCTAGTTGCTAAAAGCCATCAATAGGCTTTTCATCTTCCATAGATTTGTTTCCAGTTTTGAGATCGTTGACCTAGAGACCGCCGCTGCACTACGTGGTCTTGAATTGCACTCACTTAACTCTGCATTCTTTTGTCAGTGGCCGCTGCACTACGTGGTCTTGAATTGCACTCACTTAACTCTGCATTCTTTTGTCAGTGGAGAACCCTATGCATTGTGACTTTATCAAGTTACGCACCATGCTGGTAAGGACCCATATGCAGGACCTGAAGGATGTGACTCGGGAGACTCACTATGAAAACTACCGGGCTCAGTGCATTCAGAGCATGACTCGCATGGTGGTGAAAGAGCGGAATCGCAAGTAAGTTAGGGGGTGCTGGGAAGGAGGAGGTGGAATTGGGGAGGAGGGAAGCTGAGCAAATGGCACAGCTGGGAAGAATGAAGGAGATAGGAAAGGTGGGACCCCCACTTTCAATAACCTTCTTGTAACCTCCTCTCCTACAGGTATGAGGAGGAAAGTCAGGCAAAGCGGCCTTAAAAATTCTCAGGTGGAAAGAGTCTGATGGAGGCAGTTCATCAAGGAAAATTTATGCTGGCTTAAATTCACAGATTTTTTTTAATGATGATTTAGGCAGGTATTTATTATAACAACAGATGGATAGCACTCTATTGCAAACAGAATAAATTATGTACATTGAAAGCCATGTTCCTGGTTTGTGCAATTTTGTGCTAGGACAGGTATCTGTAGAAAGGTGATGCAGTATAAATACGAATGCAAGCAATATCTATGTTTTCTGTTTTAAACTCAGAAAGTGGCTGATGAGTTGCATGTCCAAGGTGGCATCAGATAGAAAACTCACCAAAGTGAATGCGGAGAAATGTTATTCCTTTTTGGGGGGGGCCTTGAGGTTTTCAGTGAATTGTCCTATTAGGAGAAACACATGTACAGAAGTCTGGTTGCTTAACTTTTCCCATTTCCCCCCAAATCTGATAACTTTCAGAAATGTGGTTCTCATTTTTCCCAGTTTCCCAGTTGACACAACAACCATTGGATATGCTGGGTGTAAAAAATGGGAAGTGTTCTACAGTATGTCTAGGACAGGGGTAGGAAACCTTGGCTCTTTTATGACTCGTGGACTTCAACTCCCAGAATTCCTGAGCCAGCCATGCTGAGGGGAAAGGGAGGTTTCCAAGCTGAGCCATGCTGGCTCAGGAATTCTGGGAGTTGAAGTCCACGAGTCATAAAAGAGCCAAGGTTGCCTATCCCTGGTCTAGGAAAACCAAAATCATAAGACAAAATACAATACCCTGTAACCTCTTGATTTTCTTATAGGCCTTCTTCAGCTCACCATCTTGGTGATCTGTCAAGGAAAGTCTTGGATAAACCTTTTCTGAGACTCTGTTTCTCCTAACTTATCTTTTCTGTTGTTCAGTTTCCCCCAGATCTTGCTTGTTTTCTCATGTTCTTGAAATCTGGCCTGCTAACTCATTGACTCTGTTCTTCTCCAAAGCTTGACTGTTAGGTCTTACTGTGTCTCTTACTCCTTTTGCCACTATCCCTCTCTGTCCAGCCATGGCCAGCTAGAAGAGATAGTTCATTTTATTTATAAAAGCTGTGTTTTAGTCTGAGCCGCCAGAATGTTTCCCAATGTGCCAGGTGCACAATTAAGAAATAAGCGTGGGGCATTGTTTTATCTTACAAAATAATTGAGCAATAACAATCCCTGGATATTCTGCTGTATCCATTAGAGGAGAGGTGGGTTAGTCCAATGTTTTCAACCTTGGTAACTTTAAGATGAAATACTGGTTTAGTCTATATTGGCAAAAACATCAGAAGAACATCTGTTAGTCCCTTATCTGACTAATATATGTTATTAGAAGGTATAAGCTTTTGTGACTTTTCATCTAATTTCATCAGATGCATAGAATGGCTTGAGAGATGGAGGATTTAAATTGGAATTAAAGTTGAAAGATGGTAAGACAGGTTGATTATGCAGATTACATGTGAGACAGATCACAAGTACCTTTAAATCCTACATTTCATGCCTTTTAATGAAATGTGCTAATCTGCTTGGGGGGGTCCTTGAGTTAGTACTAAGTATCTGGGAGCTTAACCAGTTGAATGCACTAACCTGATGATCCTCTGTAACTTTTCCATTGCTGCAGTTTGCAATCTGCATGCTAGAAGGGATTTAGTAAGAAAGCAAAGGGCAATAAGCTTGGGTAGGAAGGAATGCAGATAGAAAAAGAAGAAAAAAGAAATATTAGTAAGGATACCGAGGAGGTAGCACATTCAAGAAATTATTATGTATTGCTGCTGTTTTGCATTGGTTTGTGTGTGTTAAACTGCAGGGCAGGCCATTCTCTCTGTGTGTGGTAAATATTGGCAGTGGTTAGACTTCTCAAACTATTTGGGGACAGCACTGTGTATTATATATGAAGGATGAAATCTATACATCCATGTCTGTTAGACATGAATTATTTTTTCAGCAGCTCTGACTGAAAGTTACCGTTTTCTGAAGAAAGCAAATTAGACAATATGTGATTGAGGGAGACACAGTGTATAACAGAGCAGTGCTTCTCAACCCCTAACAACTTGTATGGACTTCAACTTCCAGAATTCTCTGGGAGCCTTGGCTGAGGAACTCTGACAGTTGAAGCACACACATCTTAAAATTGCTGAGATTGAAAAACACTGGTATAGAGAACTTGGAAGAAACTGTCCTCCTTTTTATTGATCCTAGATACTTATTCAGCATTTTGCCCACATTTACCATGATTTTTGTCCTGTATAAATGGAGAATAGCCTATATTTATATTGTATATTTGAGGAATTCATTATGTGCCACCAAGTTGTTTTCAACTCCTAGTTACCACATAAATGTTCACTACTAAGCAGTCTTTTTTTGCACATTTCAACTCTCTAACAATAACCCTCTGAAACACATACTTTCACATCCCCTTTTCCTCTCTACCTAAGAAAGAAGATTATTTTCTAGGAAACCCCTAGGCAATCAAGAATCAGTGGTTTCAGAGGCTTTGCTTCCATCTCTCTGGCTTCTCAGCTGTGATTCCATCACTTTCAGATTTGGTCCATGATGCCTGAACTAGGGCACAGAACAACCATCTAAGCCAGGACTGTCAAAGTCGCAACATCACGTGACGTGTGGCGATGTATCACGACTTTTTTTTTCATTGCCGGCAATGGGGTGGGCACGGTTTTGCCATGACGCATCTGGCCTGTGGGTTAGCAGTTTGACACCCCTGATCTAAGCCAAGGGAAAATCTGGAAGGGGGGGGGGTAAGTCTCGGAGGAAAGTTCTTCCCTGCCCTGCCTTCCCATGATGAATTTAAGCCGGGGGTATCCATTCCCCTCTTCTGCTTGCCATCCTGTTTAGAGGGAAAGGAGATGTCCCCATCTTTGAGATTCTGCTGCAGCAACTGTTTCTTGGAGTAAACAACTACCCCCCCCCCTTTCCAGTTCTGCTTCCATTCCCCTCTGCTGTTGGACTGCTGTAAGCTTGTAATTGCTGAGGACTTGTACAGCCAGGCTGGAGTTAATGCCTGACACTTTCCTCCAGAGCTGCATCTATCTGGCTTTCATGTATTTCCTATAAAAGTTCTATAAAATTTGGATGGTCATTGGAAGTCAGAACACTCTATCTGTATGCATGTAAGATGCTTAACCTTATTGCTGGATTTACACAATCTACTAACCCTAAACAGAGTTACTAGTAATCACTGTTACTAGTAAAAAAAAATCCTGTGTGAACACAAACACCAGGCTTTTATTTGACCTGGTTAAGTATATCATATGAAGATGAAGATTTGGGGCAGAGGTTGTTAATTGGGAAAGGCTTAAACTTCAGATTTGAATCCACATTCTTGGTTCAGTATGATCATTGGGTTGTTTTTTCAATTTGCAGTCTGTAATCTACTTTCCATAATGATCTTCTGATCTGTGAAATAACAACAGGGAAGATGAGTTAGGAAGCATCTTGATTCATGACTTGCCAAGCCAAGTCCTTTTTTTCTTTCAAAAGTCAACTAGACTTTCTTTTTTTTTGCTTGAAGATGTTTCGATTCTCATCCAAGAAGCTTCTTCAGTTCTGAACCTCTCTTCCACTTCCTCTCATGATAATTGGTTCCACCATCAAACCACTCTTGCCATCAGGAAGTTTTCCCCAAAATGAATATGAAACAATTGCCTTTGCAAGATAACCTCAAACATCTGGGGGAAGCCAGGCTGGAATTATATCACGGAATAAATAACAAAAGGAGTTTGAGGGAAACCAAATACAGCACTTTGATTGGGAGGCAAATGGGATATTTTGTGGGCTTGCATACTCAAGCATTTTTTTGGTAACCTTTTTTTTGAGAACGCTTTAATGTATTTCCTCCTCTTTTATCTCTTTCCTGGTTTTGTTTTTTGAAAAAAACAAACAAACAGCAAGCTAACCCGAGAAAGTGGGACTGATTTCCCCATCCCAACTACGCCCACGGTGCCAGATTCAGAGACAGAAAAACTGATCCGGGAGAAGGATGAGGAGGTAAATAACAGAGTACTGTTTTGGGGGAGATTGCTGGTGCTTGAAAGTTTACAAAAACACACAGAGCTGTATTGTATAACATCAGGGTTTTGCTCAATTTAGCTCAGTATAAGCCAGATTCACACATCAAGCTGACCAGTTTCTTTAACAGCAGGTTCACATAATGTGTCTATGGAGTTTCTCAAGTCGTCCAGGTCATGGTAGTCCCAAAGGTGCTTTTTCAAGAGGCATCTGGACTTTCTTGTTTTTCTTTGAAGACGTTTCCCTTCTCATCCAAGAAGCTTCTTCAGCTCTGAATGGATGGTGGGGAATGGAAGGATTTATACTGCTTGCAGACAGCTGGTCATTTGCATTCTTTTAGAGAGTTGTTGAGACCACTTGGAGGTTTGTCTGTGTCCTCAAGGTCACATGAGTAGTGCGTTTGCACATTGGCATATCATACCCGTTCACATGTTGCTTCTGCTTCCTCATCACACTCAACTGTCAGCAATAAGTGGTGGTTCTGACCACTTGATCATAACAATTAGATCAAAAACAAAGCTAGTTTACCTTCTTTAATGTAGGGGTTGGGTAATTTTGCAAATTGAAGTCCACCCAACTTAAAGTTGCTGAGACTTAAGAACACTGCTCTAAGAAATATCTGGTATCCCATGAGTCTTTTTATCAGGAGAGTATGGGCAAGGCTTTGTGACATCATTGGTCCTTTTCCCAGGGATCAAGATTATGACTACCATTATCAATTAAATTTATATGCTTCCAACTTTCAGCAACTCTAGATAGTTCACCAATTGAGGGTTGGACTGGAAGACTTACAAGGCCCCTTCCAATTCTGTTATTCTTTTGTCCTTCTGATTTAATCAGTGTTCTGAATTTGCATTATTCTGTAACTGAATAATACATTATTTTGTAACTGAATGATATGGGTTCTTATTATATGCTAAGCCAGGGTGGGGATGGGGACTAACCATAGTCATTAGATATGAATCTGTGGTAGCGATTCTCAACTTGGACCTCAGCTCCCAGAATTCTGAGAGCACCTCTCAAAGTTGCTTGAGAGAGATGGATTTATGGCAAAGAGGACACAGCCCATTGCTTGACTCTCAGCCGTCAAACCTTCTAAGATGCATTTGACCTCTACTCTTGTCAGTTTTAGAAGACATGTTTAAGTATCTTTCTTTTAGACAGGACTTTATAAATCAGAGTGTTGATTTGTGTTGTAAAGTATGTGTTTTGGTATTTTCAATTTTGTATTTTTGGGGGGGAAGTATTTATTTTGTAAGGTGCTTTTGGTCTTTCAGTTTGCACAGAAAAATTAAGCAGATAAATTTCTGGCTTATTTTTCCCCTTTCAGTTACGAAGACTGCAGGAAAGGTTGCAGAAAATCCAACAGCAGATGGAAAATTCATAGTAATCATAAATTGCCCCACCCCAGCATATATTTTTTTGTCCCTGCTGGCTGGCATCCTTCCAAAGCAGAAAATGTTTACATCCCTCTGAATTTCATCCCATCTCCAGTACTTGGTCCTTGACAAACATATATTGCTGCAATGATCGCCTTAAAACCAAAGTTCTATAATTACTTACCCATCTAAGAAATGAGAAACTGAAAAAGGCTTCAAGATGCTACTGCAATCTAACACACAGGAACTTTTCCTTTTTCCATCCAGTCTGGCTACTGATCATCATTGTAGTGATGTTTTTGTAGAGGCCAGAGACAAACTATTCTGCAGTCACAGCACTGAAAGGAAACTTAACTGTCATCTGACAGCAGACTATGATAATTTGTACCAACAACTGTGCTTGACAAGATTCTGTCCAGATTCCTTTCTAACCCAGTCATAAAAAAAGATGCAAGTGTGAAAAATCAGGCATACACAGATACTAGTAAGATATTCTCTCCAAGTCCATCTTAAAATTATTGGCAAAAGTATATGTACACTAGAGCAAGGCTTTTCAACCAGTGGTACGGATACCACCTGTGGTACATTGGCACCTGGCAGGTGGTACGCGACCATCCTAGAAAAGTGGTAGGGGGGAGGGGAATGAGCTGAACCGGTAGCAGCACCACACAAGCCTAAGCAAGAGATGCCTGGAGCTGCAGGGCTGTCAGGGCTTAGCGGAAGCGCCAGGATCAGTGCTTCTTCGGGGCTGTCAGGGCTCAGTGGAAACACCAGGATAAGCCCCAGGTGCCAGCTGGAGCTCCGCACTGATCCTGGTGCTTCTGCTGAGCCCAGAAGCATTGATCAGCTGGAATGTTGCAGCATCTCCAGGGTTTTGTGATTTACATTCAGATGCTTGGCAACTGGTTCATATTTATGACGGTCACAGTGTCCCAGAGTCATGTGAAGTGACCAAAACCTGCTGCAATCACCCAGCAGACGGGGGGGGGGGAATAAAAATCAAACACCCCCACTCCACCCCCACTGCCAATCCTCAACAGAAATGCTCACAACAATGAAAACTTCGGACAGGAGAAAGAGTGCCGCTGGGTGGGCAGGCAGGCGTCTTGCTCGGCTGTGGCCTGGGGGGCACTTTTTTCAGTGCCATTGTGACTTCAAACAGTCACTAAGTGAACTGTTGTAAGTCGAGAACTACCTGTACTTCATCACTTTTTTTCCTTTTTTTGTCATCAAGTTTTTGACACCTTGCTAGGCGACTGGTGGTACTCGGATATTGCCATATTCTAAAAGTGGTACAGTGGGTGAAAAGGTTGAAAAGCCCTGCACTAGAGATGAAATGACAAAATGCTGATCTATAAGCTGGTAAAATGGAGAACTTTCAGACTCGCATCAGATGTTGGGAATGCTTTAAAAAAAATCCTTCTGGAAAATCTGAAGGGCATCAGCTATAGCCAGCATTTAAATTTCCTAATTATAAGTCCCCTTGAAATGAATGGGAGCTGCTGGAATCTTGCACTGATAAACTTTCAACTGGATTAAATACAAGAGCACTCCCTTTGCAAAAACTCTGTTTTGTTCTATTTTATATTTATCTCCTCATAAGTGAGAGTCAAAACATGGAGTTAATACAGTTTTTGCAAGCTAATATTATTAATTTTATTTAAGTTCTTCAAGCTATTTATCAAAGTAAGATAAAGTAAAAAGAAATTTACTGTCCTGTGCACAGTCATGCATACCCAGCTGCTGGTGGATGTGGAAAGTAACCACGCTTCTTGCAAGGAATATTCAGTTTCATTAGAAATTGTTCCTTCCCATGTGTCTTAAAGTGACTGTGTCTCTTTTGTGAATATATATCTGCTCATACCCTCAATCAAGAATACCTAAATTAGGACTATTCAGCAAGTGGCTTTTTTAATGTGTGGCTTATTCCAAATGGAAATTTTCCTAAAAGTCTGGAAAAAAAATGCCTGCCACTCTCTCCCTCTGGAGGGTCAGTCCTTAAAATCTGCATGCTGCTGCTTTTGTGGGAGCCAATCTTCTGAACCTGCTAAAATTCCCATCTCTGCTGATCATGCATGCTGCAGTTACGCTTTGAAAGAAGATCCCAGAGAACAAAGCAACATATCTTTCTCAAACCAACTGTTTGGTTGCTCACAGAAAATGAAGTTCAAAAGAAGAGAAATAGCCAACCCATCCACTCTTCTAGGTCTCCCTCACTTCAAGGCTGTTCAGAAGGACCAACAGAAACCCAAGATTCTGGCAGCCAGGGCTGCAAGGCATTTTTCTCTTTCAAGGGATGGTGCCCTCGTTGAAAAATGCCCTGAGAAAACCACGGTGATCTCACTGGAGATATGGGTGCAACCCCATGAAAGCCACCTGCTCTTCCAGTTCGGAGTTGAAGTATGGATGGCCTCTCATTAAACAGGCCTTTTCTCCCTGTAGGCTTCACAATGAAAGAGAAGCAAGGGATTGGCAGAGGATGGAGAAGAATTCAAAGTGCAAGCAGGTAGCACAGGACATGAGCCTGTTGGAGCAAAAAGATGATGCTTCTGAATAAAGCTAACAGTCTTTCATTTGTAGCCCAGTGCAGCATGTCAATATGCTGGATCAGACCAAGGCTCTCATGTTAGTAGCAATGGCGATTAGTGGTATCTTTCCTCTAGCTATGGAGTCTCTGTAAGAGTCAACTGTTGATAGATACCTGTTACTACTCACCCTTCTGTCTCATTCTCTTTTCTAATCAGCCTGTTATAATAGCTGTCACAATGTCAATGAATCCAGATCCAAACAGACTTGTAAACTGGGCCAAGAAAAGCAGAATATGGGTTATTTTCTCTAGAAGGTTCAGAACCCACTAGGCATCATAGAACCATCTCTGTAGCAATTATTATAATATCACCTGCAGAAACTTCTGAATAAAGAAAAGCCCCAAAATTGCAGGTGTGGAAATAAGAAATCCTTAGACTTTAGCCACTCCTTTCCATCTAGCTCTAAATGCAATAGGATTGCCAACTGACCAGGGTGGGGGAAAAGCCTAGCCTTAGCCTAGCATAACCTGGCCTGCTTCTGTGCTTTAAAGATACCTTGATATATATATAAACATGTTTTTCATTGCATGGAAGAAACACTACTTGCTAGTATTGGTAAAGCAAACTGCTATTACAGAGGCTGACCCCATACTCTTGGCGTCAATATTTATAGAGTGCTTCCAAATAAGGCTTTTTTTGTGCAATTAATCTGGTTTGTTCATGCAATATTACTGGGGGGGGGGCTGAGAATGTCATTTTCACTAATAAACACCCTGTAGTCTTCCATTTTCCCCCTATAACGTGAAGAAAAACTCTGAATGGGGAAGCTTTTGATTGGTACTGTTAAACAGTTCTCTATCTGAAACTGTAATTGTTTTCTTCCTATTGTAATAATGTGATGCTATCATTTGATATGCTTATTCTTAATTACTGATTTACTTTTTATTATTAATTTATCCTCTAGGACACATAGGTGGCATTTGCACTTCTAAATTGTTTACACAGATGAAGGCAAATACCTACTCTAAAATATCACTATTTATAACCTTATTTAAGCATCATTTTGTTATTTCCTATAGAGCTGGGGTGTCAAACTCATGTCACGTGATGTGTCACGACGTATCGTGACTTTTTTCCCATTGCCGGCAATGGGGTGGGCGTAGTTTTGGCATGACACATCGGGCCCACAGGCCGGCAGTTTGACATCCCTGCTATAGAGGCATAGTGAAAGCTGAAGCAGCAGTCCACAAGGATGCCCATTAGCACATTCAGACAAGTGATTTCCCCCCCCCCTTTGCTTCAGTCCAACTTCCTTGTTGCATACAAGGAGGACTGTTCTTGTGCCATAACTTAATGTGCAGAAAACTAAAAGAAGTAGCCCCAAATTTTCTTTAATATATTTTTAAAAAAGTTTCTAACCTTCATGTGATGAAGATAGCCACTGTGGTTAGATGCTAAGCATAAAACATGGTGGCTTTTTAACGTAATGCTGGGATTCTGGAATGCATACAGTAATATGGGAGAAGGTTTTAATACATTAATACATTCAGGAGGGTGTTTGCAACTACCATATATGTTGGAAACCCTGCCCCTTTTTAAGTGGATTGGATCACATGTGTAAAAAAGGGACAGGGCTTTGAACACACAATTGTGGAGTTCATTTTTTAACTCTTTTCCCTTTTCTCTCCTGTCCTGTGGATGCTTCTGAATGCATAGCATTGTGTGCTCTCAACAATGCTTCCAAAACATTGTATTCCTTTATTCTCACTGCCTTAATTGCTGGGTTAGTCCCAGGAGTAATAAAAGATGAGTATGTGTGAGAGAGTTGTAGGATGTTTAGGAACCCCTAAACAGTATTTCTGCTTTTATTCATTCATTTTTCAAATCTTGATATTTTCCTAAAAAAAAGAGAAAAATTCTATCTGTTGTCTGGGGCTAGGAAATATTTATTGAAAGGTTGTAAAATATATATATATATATATAGGTTTATACAGTCTAGTACTTTATTTTTTAATCCCACCAATAAAAGTAGCTAATTTCAGTGAGCCTGTTGAGACTTGAGTTTTTTTAAAAAATATTGAGCCAACACAATGGTCTTTTCCAAGTGTGATGTATGAAAGTCTTCTTTGATTTAATGGTGGGTATTGGTCTGCGACTGCATTGCATCAAAACAGTGAGATCTCCCATTCATGAAAGAGACCCACATTTCTACAGAATGTATGTTGTTGGGTTGGAAAATACTTTTCCTATAGTGGGGAAAACGAAAGAGTGGAACTGGCCCTCTACAGCAGAAGTCCCCAACCTTTTGGGCACCAGGGACCGGTTCCATGGAGAGATTTTTCTGCGGACCGGAACATGTGTGGTATTGTGTCCTGCCTGCATCCCACGGACGGGGCTTTGTTTCTGCGGACCGGTTGCTGGCATGCCACGGCCCAGTATGGGTCCACAGACTGGGGGTTGGAGACCCCTGCTCTACAGTATTTGGTACAGAAGATGCTTTTGGAACAGTCATCAGCCAAGACAATGAAACAGCATATTCACCATCAAGGATTTTTGTTGCTAGGGAAATTCAGGGTCCATTACTCAAGTCAGTGTGCAGAAAGGACATTCCAATACAAAGATGCTTATTCCTAGACTTAAGGCAATCCCATTTGTACAGAAAGATCCAAGCCAACTCTGAGTGAAAACTCCACCTTATCAGTGGTGCCATTGCAGACTTATGTTGCATCTCTGCTCTAGGCTGGGCTGGACTAGGCTGGGCTGGAGGTGGCATCATGAGAACATGCCCCTTTCAACATGCCCTGGCATGTTACACAGAATGACTGGGAGTGGCTATTCCCACTGATATGTGATGTTATGTGGTAGGAAAAAGGAAGCTGAGGAATCCAAAAATCGCTTCTCCGCAGCAAAGGAGTACTTCACTTCCCAGTCTTGTTATTGAGGAGAAGTAAAATCTGGAGTCCAAATTATTTTGATTGTCTTCTTTACCAGCTCAAGGACAGGAGAAGCTCATGTTAATGAGAAGCAATGCTTCTCAATCTTAGCAATTGTGTGGGCTTCAATACCCAGTATTCTCCAGCCAGCAAGGAGTTGAAGTCCACACATTTTAAAGTTGCCAAAGTTGAGAAAGATTGTTCTAAGCATAGAGCAAGGAAGACCAATAGGTCTTCCAAGGGATATACAAAAGGATGTCCAAGGGATAATATCCAAAGAAAGTTAAGGAAAATACTTGACACTGAACTCCCAATCCTAAATTGTCAATTTATGTCATGGGTGTCAAACTCGCCGCATCACATGACGTGTCGTGATGTATCGTGACTTTTTTCACATTGCTGGAGCTGGGGTGGGCGCAGCCTCTGCATGATGCAACCGGCCCGTGGGCCGGCAGTTTGACACCCCTGATTTATGTTATTCTGTGGTAATACGCTAATAATCACATGTTGCATTTTGCCTACTCATATCACTGATTATAGATTAACCAGAACTTTATGAATAGGCTTGAGGAACCCAATAACCTTGTAACCAGTCAGAATGGGGAAACTTGGGTTTAATTCTGGCTTGGCCCCTAATGTAACCTACTTTTTAAGAATGCTGAGAAGAGGATTGTTTCCTGAAAAAAACAAGAACACATTTGGATTTCAATTAATATATTTTATACAAAGCATCCTTAGTATCCTGCAGTATATAACAAAATACAGTAGGTTCTAGGATGTTGGAAATTCAGATTTGAAGGGAAACACAAACTGGAATTAGAGGCCCAGCATAAAAGCTTTGAGGTAAGGATATATAAGTTTCCAGGCCATTTGAGGCAATTCCAATATTTCATCAGCATTATTACCTTGCAAACCAACTGATACTCTTATTGTTGACTTAAGCCAGGAAATGGCTTGATAATGTTATCTAGAACATTAGGAATGAGGTGAGAGTTGACAAGGGACCTTGGCAAGTCCTTCATCCCACATCTATTATTTTGACTTTGGCATCCTGGACAAAGACAGCACGGGTCACGTTTAAGATTTGTTCAGTTCTTAAGGATGGAAGGATGAAGGAGTGATCCAAATCAATAAGCGTAGCTCTGTGTAGCTGTCCTTCTGAATGTCAGCAAAGGGAATCTCAAAAACTTTCAAACACCCTCCCCAAAAATGTCATCACGAAAATCATAGATGGCTAGAACAAGGGAGTGGAAAGACTTTTATTATTTCCATGTAAATTAATTTTACATCACGGTTTGTGAATTCTGATCATTGTCATCAGAGAGGGCATCACATTTTATTTTCAGGTCAAAGTGCGTATAAATGTTTCACAGTCTTTGTCTAATTCATGTTCCTTCCCTTACACTTCTCCTAAAGACATCTGAGGCAGACTGATAATATGATAAACTCCCCAAATCACCAAAGTTGACAGTGAAGAAATAATACAAACTCTTTTCTTGAGCTATGTTATAGAGCAATGATCCTGAGTGCAGGAGTGACAGGGAGAGCTGCCTGTCTAGGGAAAACTGCTCACATGCTGGCTGCAACCTGCAGCACCTGAAGAGTTTAAAAGAATTAGGGGAACAGAATGGGAAACACATGGAGGATGGAAATCAGACTCCTTAAAAAGGGGAGCAGGATAGGAAACGAGCGAGTTCACTGTCTATGACAGGATAGTGTCAAACAAGGTCTAAAACCAAGATTGCAGGCATGAATTCAGAAGTCAAAACTTCTAAATGGCTTTTAGACATGCCCATCAGATAACAAAGGGATCCTCTTCTCCCTCTTGGGCCTGGGGGAAACGGATTCCTCTTTCACCCTCTAGTGCAGACCTCCAGCCTCACTTGCTTCTTGGTAGAACCACCAGGTCTTCTGCATGAGAAAAGTGTCTCTTAACCAAAGCCATAGTTGGGAGAGACCACATCAGACTCAGGAGTGCCATGGTCCCCACAGAAGTAGAAATGCAACACCCACACTCTGGGGCACAGTTTCAAATGGCTGTCAAAATTCTTCAAGAAAAACAATTTCTGTAGTTGTACATAAAAGTGCCAATGGAGCAGAGATATTTTGCCTACATTTCCCTCTGAAGATCATTCATAAAATACACAAGGTCTGTCATCTTTTGCATCAAACATGAAATGCATTTTCACAAAAATATGAACATTAGCCTTTTCTAACAGATGTTCATAAAATGTTGATGAATCAGTCCAGAAGCTTCAAAGATATGCAAAATCAAAATATAAAAAATGTTTTTCTCCAAATCTAGTACACAGAAGTGAGATATACTACCCTTAAAAAGGAAGTTTTCATTTAGTCTTGACTCTTTAAAGAATGAACTTAGATACAGGGCAGACTATTGATAAAAGCCAGAAAGATTTAAAATTTCACCACCACAGATCTGAGCTTTGTGCTGTTTCCCCAAATTTTTAAAATCATACAGTGAAGTTATACATACTTTCAGTTTGCGGCAGGGAAGCACGAAGAGAAGAAATATGGAGCTACGTGGACCTGTTTTTCCAAATTCATTTTAGATTTAGTCCATATATGTGATTCATATAATAATCCAGAGGCACTCCATCCTACTGTAACAACTGCTTCCAATTCCACATATTTCAGGACTTAGAAGGTGCATAGTTACACATGCACTATAGATTGAGGAGAACTGCTTCCTACTATAACCTTCTGAATTTGCAGAACTTCAGACCATTGTTAGTTTCCCTATTTCTAAACAAGAACATCCAGGAAATTTACCCCCCCCTTTTTTTTTAGCCAAGATGTCTGTATGTAAGTTTGGCACATAGGACTTAACAAAGCTGGATCACCAGTCTTTTGAGATTGGAAAGAATTGTTTTCTTTCTCCATATTTTCCTCCTTCTAAAAAAACCCAGCTATAACTATAACATGGCCTTCAATTAAAATAAAAAAGATGCTGGTGTTCCCTTGAAAAGAACAGGAGTCCACTGGTAAAAGTATAAGAAGATCCATGTTGTCTCCCTCAGCAGCTAACCAGATAACCAGAAACCCAGAAACTGATGTTTAGTCCTGAATCTTCTTACCAGCACTAACAATTAGAGGTAGGTTGTCCCCAGGGATTTCCTAGCTGGCATGGCTAAACTCCTTCAAGTCTTCCTGCCTGACCCTCTTTTACTTTGGTTACATGACCAATGTTTGTCCTGGGTGCTAGAATGCCAGGAGGAGAGAAAATGGTCTATTTTTTTCCAATGGCCACTGATACTGTTAGTATTCAAAACCCAGGAAGTTTTTCATGGTTCAGGCTCTTACAAATGCAGTCAGAGGAACTGAAGAAGCTCCATATTTTTTCCTTCTAAAGACTATTAAGCCAGTCTCCTCGTGTTGCACTGAATGATACAGGAATGTGCCTTTTTCCAAGTAACAGATCTGAGTGGCTGCTTCATGCCCACAAAAAGCTTGTGAGGTAAGGAAAAAGCAGGATCTGTTCTCTTGCCTATGACATACAAAGTTTTAATACGCAGGGGAAGGTTTTTTTGGCACAAGAGGTCATTTAGTCATGTAGCCATGACTTACCCACAAGGGTAAGTCAAAAATATGTCTCTAGGTTGGGAGGATCCTTGGATAAAATGAATTCAGCTGGTTTCCCTCTGAAGGCTCCTTTTTACTATGCTGATCACCCAGGTGGAAAACACCTGTTGCCCATTTCCTGATAAGGGTTCAATAATGCTTATTCTTATTGCTGACCTGGTGCATAGATGAGCTCATCCTTCTCCAATCTAAAACTTTCCAGATGGGTTGGAACTACAATTCCCAGAATTCTTTTGTTCACATGGCCTCCAGACCACTGGCTAAGAATTCTGGGAGTTGTACAGTTCTGAAGGCCATGTTGCCTAAGGAGTACTGGGAATTGTAGTGAAATTAAATCTGCAGGGCAGCAGTCTGAGGAAGGCTGGGGTGAATGCACATCGTATCCTGAACCTGGAAAGAGTTGGCTGGATTTTCAAGCTATGCACAAAGATCTCCCTTTAAAAGGGTGACTTAGATGTTTCCTCCTCTTTCTCTCCTTCTAGAAATACAGACTGCTTTTTTGAGGGCCTAACAGCACGTGGGTGTTTGCATGTGCACACATACATTGTATCTTATTACAAAAATCTTAACACATATTTGGATCTCCAGAGTGGGCAAGCAGTTTAAAGGGGTGGTAATTTGGAGCAGAGAAGGGTTAAGAGGAGATAGTTACAGCTCTACCTTATAGCTTCTCTCTGGGGCAAACTGCCTGCTTTTTCACCCCAAAAAAGCACCCTTGGCCTTTATGTACTTCTGCCAAACATGGTCGTAACGGAAGGAAGGAAGGATGGAAGAAAGAAAGGGAGGAAGGAGCTAAGGTGTGCACACAGTGAAACATGCACATGGCACACATGTGGGTACTGACAGAGCTACATTCACATAACACATTTCACCTGGTTATCAAATTGAGCTTTTTGTGTGTGTGTGTGTGGGTTTGCACAATATATCAACTTCAAATGAATCAAATAGGCTGGGTTTGCATAACATGCTAAGCTATATAAAAGATAAAATACTAACCAAGGTTAAGAGTGACAATAAGCTCAGTATGTTGTGCAAATACAACCACTAAATCTTCAACTGACTGGGCAAAACATGTTGTGTGAATGTCATCAGACACGGGCTCCAGGGAGCACGCAGACCAAACATCTGCACAGATCTCTCAGTCTCGCAACTTCCAAGGAAAGGCTAAGCACATGCTAAGCACACGCATAGACTCCCATGGCCTCTTCGCAGAACAACAAAGTGGGGCTTGAGCATCCAAGTATGCAAGTCCACATAAACCCAAGGCACCACTTTATAGGACAAAGGTTTTAGAGAGGATCTATAGAGGTGTATTGGGGGACAGGATAGCAGCCCCCATCCTAATGCCAGCTTGTGAGCAACTGCCAGCTGATGACAGAAGCTTATGTGCTCAGCGGGGCGTGCAAAGCTTTTCGCAACCACAAAGTGTAAAAGGAGAAAGTCAAGGATCCCTCACTTCCCCTCCACTTTGCGGGATGCACATGAGGAGAAGGACATATTCACAAGGAGTATTTACAAGAACCCGGGCTGCCCAGACCATCTCTGTGCAAGCCAGGCACAGAACTCATCCCCCAAGGAAGGAAGCAGGGAGAACCAGCTCCCAGTGGTTTTTCAAAAACCAGCTCTAGCTGGTGAGCTGGGTGCAGCTGGTGGCAGGACTCAGCAGGGGAAGCTTTTCTTCAGCCCAGCTCATACAGAGACATGCAGGCTTGGGGCTGCTTGCCTGCCCCTGCTGTACTCATTCAGACACTTCAGCATGTGCACACAGTCCACCATCAGCTCGCCGGTGTGTCTCCCAGAAGACCCGGTCCAATTGCTCCAGCTGTGGACTCAGGGGAAGTTGCATAGCCAGATGCATGCGGAGAGCTTCTAGCCACTGCTCCAACCGACTGAAGGAAGGCCTGGAGAGAAAGAGCAGAAGAATGTGAGGAGTTTTGCTCGATCAGGCTAAAAGTCCCAAACAGCCTAGAGCAGCACCCCACAAACTTTTGAGCATCAGAGATTGGTTCTATGGAGAGCGGTTTTTTCCGCAGAGCAGGGCAGACGTGGTTTTGCTTGCTGCCTGGATCCCGCATGTGTGCAGATGGGGCTTCACTCGCTTGTGCAGCTTGGTTCTTGGTGTGCTGAGAATTGGTGCCAGTCTGCAGCCTGAGGATTGGAGACCCCTGGATCAGAGGGCCCTAGGCAGAGCCTGAAGTCAGCACTCCACACTATTTTTCAACCTTGGCAGGTTGAAGATGTATGGACTTCCCAGAATTCCCAATGTATGTGTTTGTGTGTATTTTCCCTCCATTAAATATACTGAAAGAGGACAAGAATCACAATCACCAGGAGTCAAAAACAACTTGAAGGCACATAATTCCTCAAAAATATGAGCATAGGCTACTCTCCATTTAAAGATTACAAGAATCATGGTAAATATAGGGGTAATCCTGAATATGCATCAGGATCTAATAAGAAGGAGAATAGTTTCCTCCAAGTTCTCTATACTAGTTCTTTCTCAACCTCAGTGAGTTGAGTGGGAAGCACTGGCTTAATTTGTCCTTCCAGGCTCTACCATCTGCCCTGAGGAAGATTCATCTCTTTCTCCAAGCCACATATCCTCTCATCCCCATATCTAGGGGCTTCTCTGACTCTCTCATCTGACACATCTGTTTCCTCTTGCTCACCGTTTCTCAGGATCTAAATCACAGCAACAAACAGCAATAGGAAAGAAGCTGGGAGGACAACTGGGAGGGCAGTAGCGGTCCAGGAAGCCTCGCACATTGAGGCCAAAATCCAAGGCTCGAGGCAGGTAGTCAGGGTCAGCGCTAACTCTTCCAATGATCTGTGCAAAATAAAAAAGGAGTTGTTAGAAGTTTATCTTGACTGGTCTAGCATTGGTTAACAATCTAGAACAGGGCTTTTCAACCTTTTCACCCATTGTACCACTTTTAGGATATGGCAATATTCGAGTACCACCAGATGTCTAGCAAGGTGTCAAAAACTTGACACAAAAAAAGGAAAAAAGTGATAAAGTACAGGTAGTCCTCGACTTACAACAGTTCGCTTAGTGACTGTTCGAAATTACAATGGCACTGAAAAAAGTGTCCCCAAGGCACAGCTGAGCAAGACACTTGCCTGCCCACCTGGCATTACTCTCATTCCCCTCCCCCATTACCACTTTTCTAGGATGGTCGCGTACCACCTGCCAGGTGCCAATGTACCACAGGTGGTACCCGTACCACTGGCTGAAAAGCCCTGATCTAGAACAGTGGCTTCCAACCTTTTGGGCACTAGGGACTGGTTCTATGGAGAAAGGTTTTTCTGCAGACTGGAGGAGGTGTGGTTTTGCATGCTGCCTGCATCCCGCGGATGAAGCTTTGCTTGTTTGTGCAGATCGAATGCTGGCATGCTGTGGACCTCTCGGTCCACGGACTGGGGATTGAGGACCCCGATCTAGAACAAGTCTCCAAAGATGGTCCTTTGGAGATAAACTGAGCCACATAGAAGAGCCAAGTAGAATACTGGCTGGCCCATGCCAGATGCCTCAAGGGCTTTTCAAAAGTCCGTGTACAGCATTTGTATATTTCATTTCAGTATCTCTGATAGAAATATGCAGAAATATGCCTGAGTATTCTTTACAATAATGCTAACTTTATGAGGCTAGTATTATCATTCTCACATTACATGTAGGAAACTAAGGTGGGGGTATAAGGAGTGGTCCTCAACTTACAGCAGTTCACTTAGTGACCGTTCAAAGTTACAACACTAAAAAAGTGACTTATCATTTTTCACACTTATGACTGTTGCAACATCCCCATAGTCATGTGATCAAAATTCAAATGCTTGGTAACTGACTCGTATTTATGACAGTTGTAGTGTTCCAGGGTTGTGTGATCAACTTTTGTGAGTTTCTTATAAGCAACATCAATGGGGAAACCAGATTGATTTAACAACTGTGTTATTAACTTAACAACTGCAGTGATTCACTTAACAATTGTGGCAAGAAAATGGGATAAATTCATTTAACAAACGTTTCACTTAGCAAGAGAAATGTTGGGCTCAATTATGGTCATAAGTCAAGGACTACTTGTATATGCCTGAAATAGCTTAGTGAGAAATCCCAAGCAGGTGAAAATCTCTCTCTCGTTCATGATTGTATGAGTTAAGGTGAGGTTGAGCCAAAAGATAGCAACTGCTTCAAAATTACCAAGTGAGCTTTCACTATGGACAGTGAACCCGTATCTGAATTTTCCCAGTCCTAGTCTAATACTTTAGCACTTACTAAAGCAGGCCAAGCACCCAGATGACCCTTAGGTGGCAGTTTTAAAATGTTCTTAAACGTTCAGCATCTCTCTGCTGCCATCTAGTAGTGATTGTCTAAATCAGTGTTTCTCCAACTCAGCCACTTTAAAATGTGTGGATTTCAACTCCTAAGGGAATTTTGAGAATTGGTTCATACATCTTGAAGTATCTAAGGATGAGAAACACTGGTGTGATAGCCCTGATCTGTATACCACACCAGGTCTTGATCATAACCAAGGCTCTCCGATTTTTTTTCAACCGAGAACGATACCAATTTTGATGTAATTTACCAGAGTTGCATGCGGATGCATTTAAAACTCAAAACAGGAGAAACAGAATCATCCCCTTTCCCTCTTTTTTTGCCATACCATTTTTTGCTCTTGCTTCTCAAAATGAAGTTAACTGCAACAACCCTTCCTTTAAAAGATGCAAGAACAAGGATAGAGAATGCTGGCTTCAGGCGTCTGCCCGAACCGCTCTCTGGAAATGTTCCTCTAGATTTCTCAACTGCACCATCTAGCAACCCTTCCTTCTTCACTGAATGCTTTATGTTTCTGGGACTCGCCTCACAAAGGATGATGCCGAAAGAGAAGACATCCACTTTTTCATCATAACTTCTCCCTGCAAAAAGAGGACAAAAGACAAAAGAACATATTTAGCTATCAGTCCCAGACATCCTAGCCAGGGGTGAACTATTGCTCCAAGTTGGTGAGTTCATTTAGAATTTGTAAAGCAGCTGATTGGCCCTCTCACAAAATGGCTTCCTTAAGGGCCCATGAGCTCTCATGATAATTTGTCCCAAAGTAACTGTAAGTGAAATTGCCCTTTTCTTTTGCTGCCCATTTTATCTTAGTTTCAATGTGCTCAGAAAAAATCCTCCTGTTCCTCAGGGTTATTCCTTCTGCTCATTACATAAAGATGACTTCCCGGACAGCTTCCCAAACATGGTCCTTGTTTTCCTCAGTTGCTGACCACAATTAAACCAGCCCTGGTGAGGCTCTAGTCCAGTGTTTCTCAACCTTGACAATTTTAAGGCATGTGGACTTCAACTCCCAGAATTCCACAGCCAGCAATGCTGGCTGTGGAATTCTGGGAGTTGAAGTCCACATGCCTTAAAATTGTCAAGGTTGAGAAACACTGCTCTAGTCTATCCCAACCCCCAACTTCCTTGCCCCACTCACCATTGATCATCTCAGGAGCCATCCAGTAAGGATTGCCCACCACGGTGTACCGTTTCCTTCGGTCAGGCTTCTTCAGGTTTGCTAGCTGGTTCTTCTCGTCCACCATCAGCCGAGCAAGGCCAAAATCAGCCACCACCACACTTTTGTTCTGTGTAAAAAACAGAAATAATCTTTTCCCCCCTTTCTTTTAATTATCCAGAGGATTTAACACTTTCAGTTTACAATGCTTTAATGTTGTTGGCTGACAAGACAGTATTTAAGAAAAGAGGAAATACCATTGCTCTCAGTGTCAGCTTCAAAAGATGTGGCTTGTTTTGAAAGCAAAACAAATATCAGCCGAACCTGATTATTTTAAATATTATTTATGTTATCAAATGTTATTTTGAAATGAACTTATTTCATACTCAGTTTATCTACTGTTACATTACATTTTTTACATTCATGTATTAAAAGTGTTACTATAGTTTTAAAATTAGCTTTATTTTTTTCATGGATGGAAGGGTTAATTCAACTGAAAAAGACAAAATTCTTATTTTCTGCAGAATGTTGACAACTAACGTTTACTGATTATGTGACAAACTATTATCAGAAATAGTTCCAGGGTTTGGCTTGGTGTTTTTTATAAATATTTGCCTCTAGCATCTCCACTGGTGAAGTAGGTGGTAGTATACCTACAGTCTTTGGAACAGCTAAAGAAGTGTCCGTGTTGGTGAACGTCAGCATTTTAAATCCATTTTAAATTTCCATCCTTTCAAAATAGAAAATGATTTTGTGGGATAATAGCTGTAATACTAAAAATGTCCACTGAATATAGATAAAAGTCAAGAAAGTATTATCACTGATATATCTGATACTTTTACATGTATTTTTTAAATACATACCAATCACACTATTCCCTTTTGGAGTAAGTAAAATTGTGCAAATAGTATGCCAAAAGAATTTCAAAAATGAGATGAGCAAAAGAGAGGGAAGTCTAATTTACACTTTCTGAGAACTTCATCAATCTCTCCAACCACGATTCTGTCTTTCTGATCCTTTTGACTCCTCCACTCATTCTCTGCTGTTTTTGTTTTGCCATTCAGTCCTCCTTCATTCTCTCTATATGGCTAACGCTCCTCAACAAATTCCTTTCCCACTGAAACTCACTGTTGCATTCAGTCCACATGCAATCAGGACCCATTTATTTTTTGTTTTACTGGTTCTCTATTTTTACTATTTTCAACTTTCTCCTTACATAGCCAGTTCTCATTTCCATGTAACAAAGTGAAAAGAAGTGCAGCGAGTTATTTTTATTTCTTTTTTTAAACATTCATTTCTTGAAACGGGCTTCTGTTTCTGTCAGCATTGAACATTTAAACATTTCTCCATGCAGTGTTTGTTAACAGAAAAGACTGAATTCAGGTTATTATTCATCAGAAACACTAGTCCCTGAGAATCTGAAGCCAAACAAAATAAAATGACACCTGGGAATGTCATGCAAAATCCCATAAATTTTAACTATTTCTTTGTTTGTTAGATAATAATGTAATTATTAAAATACATGACAAGTATTTTGTCCAATGCCTATCCCAATGAATTTTTTAGTTTTACTTATGAGATAGGAGTTGCACAATTATTCTTTTGGGAGGCTGAAAGTATTGTAAAATTTGAGAATCCTGATACGAAGTGTCAAGTGCCAGGAAAATCAGGAGATTCAGGCAGTTCAAATTAGTATAAAGATTTATTGCAAATTTAAGCTTTCTACAAAAAATCTGAGCTACTAACAGTCAAGGGAAATGAGCGGGAATAAGAAGGCATTCAAGATGGGCTGGACTTAGATCTCTTGTGGGCATGCAGGGACTCATGACTTATGACACGTTTGACCCCTCTCTCAGACTTACTCCTACAATAGGGGTAAGCAATATCCTAAATGGGTACCTGGATTCTCCCCAAAGCTGATTATTAAATTACTATAATACATTTTTCTAAACTTGTAGAATACAATTTAAGCATAAACTAACCAACCCAGCTGAATTTATAGAACATATTAAGCCTCCAGACTACAACAACAAAGCTAACCACAATTACATTTCATCAAGTTTAGCATGTGATGCACATACAGCCACTAAAATTTTAAATGATCTAGCAGTATGTGCACATTTTATACATATCCAACCATTTTATTTAGCCTCGAGAAAGCCAAATCAGGGGAAATGTAATGATACTGAATGGATATCACACTGAAAGTAAAGAGCTGTTCATAATCATTCCAGAGTATAGAAAGTGAGATGATGGGGCAAATTCTCATTTAAATGTTACAAAAAGTTTTTTTTTACTATTAAGAGCAGTTTGATAGCAGAAGCAATTAATGAAAAGAGCAGTAGATGTTCAAGCAAGATTGGACAGCTATCTTTCTGAAATACTTTAATATGATTTCTAGCAGTGGACATGGATTTAGGCTGAACAGGGTTGAATAGCCTAAATTGATTAGGCTATTGGGATTTCTCAACCTTGGTTCCTTGGTAATGGCTGGAGAATTCTGGGAGTTGAAATCCATATACTTTAAAGTTGCCAAAGTTGAAAAACAATAGCTTAAAATGGCTTTTTCCAACTCTATGATACTATAATTTTATATATAATTCCCTCTTTCAGCTTTCAGAAAAATAAACAACAAATCAATCTTGGATTAACTTCTGCCTGCCCCTGAGAAATCTACCTGTTAATTTGTTAAAAGTGTAGGAGACAATAGAGGGAAACAAACCTGAACTTGGCTACTAGTTCCAAGTTCTCACTTTCTATTCACACAGTAATCTGAAACAAAGCAGAGATTTGGAACAAAGTACAATCTGAAAACAGAGGCAGGTTTCTATGATCCTGCATCTTAAAATGTTATATATTTTCACAAATCAGAGATTGTTACATTCAAGACCTACAATAATCCTCTCCTTCATTTATTGTTTTTAAGATGTTCTTAAAAATTAAGAATACTCTTCATAACCTACCTTCTCAAAATGCAACATTTTCTCCTTGCTTTTAAAATTATTTTTATGTTTTTAAAATAAAATAAAAACTTAGCAAAACAAATAATATAAATAAAACTTAAATTAATGAATGAATTAAAAATTTGACCAGTGCTAGCTTACTTCTCGCACAAGGCAGTTGTGTGTATTGAGGTCCCTGTGAATGATATTCATAGAATGGAGATAAGCCTATAAAAAGAAATGAGAACAAGAGAGTTAGAAAGTTTGTTATTCTTCCATAACTCTTTTGTTTTTTAAAAGGATGTGGCTGACTTCACTTTATTCAGCACTGCTATATGCTCTTACCCTTCATATATATAATAACACAATTCCCATTTCATAGGAGGTTAATATTTGAAATGAAACTTGATCTATCTAGTATACAGGCAGTCCTTGAATTATGACCGGTTACTTAGCAGCTTTACAAAGTTACAACAAATTCATTTTACCTTGGGGCTAATTATGACCCAGATTTAAAATTCCAATGATCATATGACCAAGCTTCAGATGCCTGGCAACATGACCATATTTATGTCCGTTTGTAGCATCCCATGGTCACATGATTACATTTTATTACAGTTTTGCTAAAAATTGGCACTTCCAGTTTTTGGCAAAACTGCTCCCATAGTGAACCATTGGTTTGCTTAATGATGTTAATTGGCATTCATTCAACAACCTCAGAGTCACGTAACAACCGACGTAAAAAAAGTTTGTAAAATTAGATTAGGCAAGTGACCGACCTGTTTTACAACAGTCATGACTTATGACCATGATAAAATAGAATAACAGAGTTAGAAGGGAACTTGGAAGTCTTCTAGCTCAACCCCCTGTTCAGGCAGGAAACCCTATACCAGTGTTTCTCAACGTTTGTGTGATGGTGACCCCCGTCACACAAACGTGCCGCGCATGCGCGGCGCCGCCCCCTGAGGGGGGGAAATGGCGGATCGCCTTGTTTGGCGACCCCCGTAAAATGGTTGATCGACCCCAAATGGGGTCGCGACCCATAGGTTGAGAACTGCTGCCCTATACCATTTCAGACAAATGGCTATCCAATCTCTTCTTAAAAACTTCCAGTGTCGGAGCATCCACAACTTCTGGAGGCATGTTGTTCCACTGATTAATTGTTCTATCACGAAATTTCTCCTTAGTTCTAGGTTGCTTCTCTCTTTGGTTAATTGTCCTGCCTTCAGGTGCTTTGGAGGATAGCTTGACTCCCTCTTCTTTGTGGCAACCCCTGAGACATTGGAACACTGCTATCATGTCCCCTTAGTCCTTCTTTTCATTAAACTAGACATACCCAATTCCAGCAACCATTCTTTATATGTTTTAGCCTCCGGTCCCCTGATCATCTTTGTTACTCTTCTCTGCATTCTTTCTAGAGTCTCAACATCTTTTTTACATCGTGGCGACCAAAACTGGATGCATTATTCCAAGTGTGGCCTTACCAAGGCATTGTAAAGTGGTGTTAACACTTCACATGATCTTGATTCTATGCTGGCTGATATTTAAGTGATTGTCCACTAGGACTCCAAGATTCTTCTCACAGTTACTACTATTGAGCCAGGTACTACCTATACCAGACATGTCAAACTCATGATGTCATGTGACGTTGCGTAACATATTGCAGCTTTTTCCCTATTGCTGGCAATCGGGTGGGCACAGTTTCCTCATGACACATCCGGCCCATGGGCCAGCAGTTTCATACACCTGACCTATACTATATCTGTGCATTTGATTTTTCTTGCCTACATATAGAACTTTACTTTTTCACCACTGAATTTTATTTTGGTAGATAGAGCCCAGTGTTTAAATCTGTCAAGATCAGTGGTGGGATTCAGCTAGTTCGCACCAGTTCGGTAGAACTGGTAGCTAATTTTTTGTTGCCCAGGCTCAGAATGGACTTCCAAAAGCAGCATCCACACAGAGAACCGGTTGTTCACATATTTGAATCCCACCACTGGTCAAAATCCTTCTGTAAGTTAAGCCTATCTTCTGGAGTGTTGGCTATTCCTGCCAGCTTGGTGTCATCTGCAAATCTGATGAGTTCCCCATCTATCCCCTCATCCAAATCATTGATGAAGATGTTGAAAAGTACCGGGCCTAAAACAGAGCCTTGTGGTACCCCACTGCATATTTCCCTCCATGTAGATGAGTTCCATTGAGGACTACACATTGAATGTGGTTGGTCGGACAGTTACGAATCCATCTGGTCATAATGCTGCATAACCCACATTTTTCTAACTTATCAAGTAGTAGGTTATGGTGTACTTTATCAAATGCCTTACTGAAGGCATTTGGGCAAGCTCCATTATAATTGTAAGACAAGGGTTGCCTGTACATGAAACCCCCTGCCTCAATTTGCAGAGATTGTTTCTGGACATTTATGGTTAAGGGGGGGTGTCTTCACATTCTCTTTTTAAATGGTGCTGTGGAAACTTTAAATCAGGAGCAAAGCACAGGAAACAGATTGCGAACATATTTTTTATTTTAACCAAATCTGTGTCACCCACCCTTGTTCATAAGCGAGTAAGAATGAACCCAATTGAATCAGATTTTAAAAATCCACACAATCTAGCATTGTGCTTACAAGACTGGCCAGTAAGTTATTCTGGAAAGCTCACAAGTAACATGATTTGTTGCCTCAAGTTATGGAGGCTTCATTTGGTAAACAACTTTCATGAATTGAACACATACTTTTAAAGGCTAGTGAATAAGACCGAAAGGAAATTTTAATATGACTCCTGCAAGATTTTTTCCTAATGCCCCACAGAAATGCTAGCGTAGTCTGCTGCAAATTCATGCTCACACTCACCATCCCTGAAGCGATATCTTTTGCAAAACTGACCCGCTGGCTCCAAGGATACTGACTATCCTGGAAGAAAAATGTTGTTGGTGAGTGAAGTATCTGGAAAAGTTGGGGTGAAACCCATCTGGGCAAAAGATGTGGAGCATCTCACTTCTATCAGGATATGGAGAGAGCAGCAGGAAAGAGACTTTGCCTCCTTTTCATGACTAAAATCACAAAACATACTGTAGCTGGTTACTGAATTAATCATGTGTCTACAATACTCTAAATCAAAAACCTAACAGAGTATTATTAACTAAGCTTGTTAACTAAGATTGTTCACATGCAATTGTGAGATCTTTGCTGTTAATTAAGAACATTCAGTTCAGTTCAGTTCAGACCTGGGGAATAGTATTGTGAGAATATTGGTCACACTTGATTATGACCATCCCTATTGTACTTGATCCCTCAGTGGAAAAGTAGTTCTCTTCCTTTTTATATGGATGGGTCCAATTGGTCTTGACAGTGGAGAAGGAACAGGCTTTGGCTTAAACCTGACAAAAGCAAATGAGTGGTGTGGATATTTGGATCTCCTGATTGTGGAGTGATTCAATCTTTGATCCTGAATAGGAATGCATTTCTCTTTGGGTTTGATGGGCAACTTGATACTCTCTAGAATTCAGTTTGTGCTCTAGCAGGAGTGTTTTTAACATGTAATGTCAATTACGCCATGATGTTAAGTCATAATACAGTTGCTTGGCCACAACATCTATTGTGTTTTATTAACCCTGGCTTACTCTGCTGTGTGAACCTAGCCAGACTGTCTCTTCTGCTCTCCCTCCTCCTGCTCAGATGCTCAATATTCTCATATTAAGTTCTATGCCCTCACCATGCTTTTAATGAGCCCACGAAGTGTGCCTCCCTTGATGTACTCTGTGATGAAATTCAGCCTCTTGTCTTTGTAGAGGACTCCAATGAACCTCAGCACATTGGGATGTTCCAGGCAGCGCATTACCTTCACCTAAGGAACAAAATCACGAGACAGTTAATCCTGCATTTCTCAAAATCTCTTGGTGTTGACAGGAAACCACAGGGCATACAACATCAGGAAAAGCTTGGCAATTTTATAGCATATTTGGCTACTACCTATTTGTCTGTAAGCCCTGTAACAACTACTTGAACTTCGGGGACATCATGGAATGAAAGATTGTGGCAAATATTATGAAGGAAAAGCTTGTCCTAGAAGAGCATATGCTGTAAATGAGACTTAAAGAAATCAGAAATCCTTGCTTATTGTCTCAAAACACTAGGGATTACCATACAAATTAAAGAAGAGATACACAGATTTAAATTAAGCAACATTTCATGTGGGGAGTAAACATCAAAAATGTAAATGATACTAGTAGAAAATCAACAGAAAGGAAAGTTCTATAGACATTGGAATAAGCTGGAGTAACTAACCTCTTTAAGAAACGTCCTTTGAGTCTCCTCATCAAAACGGATAAGTTCCTTCATGACCATCACTTCTCCAGTCTCCCGGTGTGTCACCTGATAAAGAAAGCAGATGGCATTTAGGACTTTTAAACAAAGAGGAAACATTTGGAATCGTACAGTTACAAGGGATCCTAGAGGTCACTATAATGTACTCTAAAAATAATCTTGAGAGACAGGAAGAAGAGCTGCAGTGGTCTGATAGACGAAATACAAGTCCAATGGAGAAATGTAATTTGAAGAAGTGTCACAGAATTGATCTGCCCTAGTTCTCTCTAAGATAAAGGCAGGGAGGAGATGCACACTGAGGATTACCTTAGAAGACTTTAGCATTTTGTTTATGCATAGATCAATTTTCATTTTCAATTTTCTAGGAGAAGCTAAAATAATGCAATTATTTTCATGTATCTGCTAGTCCAATGTCCTCCTCAGTCAGATGTTTAGAGTCTGAACCACTGAACAATGAATGTGCAACATAGAAAGTCCATCAACAGGCTGGCTGGGCCAAGCCATAATTTAGATCCAGCTGATAGAAAGGGGCACAAGGTATCATAATGATTTTAACAGTTACACTTCTATACAGGTAGTCTTCAACTTACAACCATTCGTCTAATAAGCATTAAAAATTACAACAGCACTGAAAAAAGTTATTTATGACCTGTCCTCACACTTACAACTATTGCAGCATCTCACGTAAATCGAGGACTACCTATATATATATTTATCCAATGCAATTATTAAGGAAATCAATCCCGACTGCTCTTTGGGAGGACACATGCTGAAACTAAAGCCCAAATACTCATTGGAAAAGACCCTGATGCTTGGTAAGACTGAAGGCCAAAGGAGAAGGGGTCAGCAGAGGATGAGATGGTTAGATAGTGTCATTGACGCAATGAACATGATTTTGGGCAAACTCCGGGAGACAGTGGAGAACAGGGGAGCCTGGAGTGCTGTGGTCCACGGGGTCACGAAGAGTTGGACATGACTTAATGAACAACAATGCAATTATTATTCAAAAATATATAAATTTCTAATGCATATATATAACATATATTTAAACCTGTTGTATTTAATGTAAATGAGTTTCATATTTCATTATATTTGTCCATCTGTAGGCAATCTGCTCATAGGTGGCAAGTGCAATCAGTCCTCAATCCATTGAGTAAATGGAGCTATATGTTTCTCTTTCCAGTGCCCAAATATCAGTCTTTTGGCCATAGTAAGGACACAGAGAATCCATTTACACTGTCCACTTGCCATATTCCAGTTACTTGGCATGCACTGTAATTCAAAAGAATATAATTGTCTGAACATTTTATCTTTTGTTACACAATCATATTTACAGTATAAAGTCTACTACTTTTTCCCAAAACTTTGTAAGTAAAGGGCCTTGTGCAAAATGTAGCCTTATTACATTCCCAACAAAATGCTGTTCTGACACCATGTTTGTACCTTAATGGCCTGCCCAAAGCAGCCCTTGCCCAACACCTCGCCATGAATGAGATCCGAGGGGCGGAAGATGCGATGAAGACGGGAGACAACGCGCAGTGATTCTGAGCGACCAATATCTTTCCTCTGGGAGGAGGGGGAGCCCAGAGAGCTGGAACAAGGTGATTTATCAATGCTACAGCTCCTCCTGTTTGGAAGAAGAGAAATGCTCTTCTCAGGTACACATCAGGCATGCTCTTTTCACAAAAGAACAATATAGCAGTGTCCCAATATCTAAGGGGTTGCCACAAAGAAGAGGGGGTCAAGCTATCCTCCAAAGCACCTGAAGGCAGGACAAGAAGCAATGGATGGAAGCTAATCAAGGAGAGAAACAACCTAGACTTAAGGAGAAATTTCCTGATAGTTAGACTAATTAATCAGTGGAACAACTTGCCTCCAGAACTTGTGAATGCTCCAACACTGGAAGTTTTAAAGAAGTGATTGGACAACATTTGTCTGAAATGGTATAGAGCTTTCTGCCTGAGCAGGGTGTTGGGCTAGAAGACCTCCAAGGCTCTATCCAACTCTGTTATTCTGTTAATTTCTCTAGGTTCAGGAGGAAACTGGAAGACTTTCTTCTTGAACAACTTCCTGTTTGCCCTTAATTCCAGTTTAATTAGGATAACACAGCTTGCAATGTACCTTCATCTTTTTTGGATTAGTAAAAGATAACAAAATGGCTGTTTTCATAGGAGTAGAATCTGTGTCTCTGTTAAGGATGGGCAACCCGATGTTCTGCTGCTGTTGTTCAGGAACCTTATTCCTGATGTTCTGTTACTCAAGAGGTCTTGACAAGGCACAGTCCTCTTGGGCTCACAAGTTCCCTCATTTCTTCCAGCATGGAATCAGATTTACTTTATGTAAAGAAACCAGTTTGCTGCATGGTACAAATCATAATAAACTGCAGGATCCAATCTGGGTCGATCACTGGGACCAGAGGTTTTGGACTCATGCTGGAGCCCATTGTCAAGCAACTTCTCTCTCACCAGAATGTGTGTGAGAGAATGTGTGTCTCACATTCTGGAGAGAGAGAAGTTCCCTGAGGATGGGCTCCAGCATGAGTCTGAAAGCTCAGAAGACTAAACCTCTGGTCCCAGTGATCGACCCAGATTGGATCCTGAATCATTAAGTTAATTCAGTAAGTATATAAAAAGCAATGTGTAAATAAAACCAGCGTGAGACTGGAAAAATAGAAATGGAAGTTGGCCAAGAAGGCACCATCTTTGGGTTTGCCAGAGATTCTGTTTATAGTGGCTCCTTTTCTACCTGCCTCTACATTTACAACTGCAGGGTGGCCTTCTTCAACCTGATACCTTGTAGGCTGCCAATTGCCAACTTGGCTGGGAACTTTGTGAACTTTAAGCCCCTTCCCAACACAATCTTCCGGGCACTAAACTAGGGAAGAGGGCACCAGCTATTTTCTAGTTGCATTTCTATAGCATGAGAGCAAAAACTCTTCTCTGGAGGAGGGGGGGAATCAACTTCAGAGAGCTATCTTCTACTCAATCCTTACATGACAGAGCGTTGTCGAATGGCTGAAGGGTCTGGGCAAGGTGTGTGGCTGGGCGAATGGAGGGGACTGTGCAGCTCTGAAAGAGGGCTGCTTTCGATTATCTCATGAGGGTCGTGTTCAATGGTCAGCTGCAGCAGGCGACTGGTCTCTTGGATCAGAAGATCAATCTGTAGAAACAGAGAAGGCAGGCTGAGAAGAGAGGCAATACATTCTGACAGGCACAAGGCCACATTGTGGAAACAAAAACAGAAGAGGATGATTGATTAACTACTGACAAAAAATATCACCTCATCCAGTGGGACATGACGGATTGGTGTGCCATTAATTTCCAGAATGCGGTCACCAACATGGATGGAATTCTTCATATCGGGGCTTATGCAGTCTGGGTCTAATCTAAGGATACAGAAGGGGGCAGCAAAGTAATCTTAAATTACTCTGTCCTGGCATAAATCTCCCAAACTAAACCTCAGGAAAGTGATAGCATGCTAGAGCTTTCTCTGAAAACTAGAGGAGAGGGATCAAAGCACTTGGATTCCATCACCCCCGTCTTACAATCAATCAACATGGTATAGACCCACATTCTTCACCAGATGTCTTCCAGATGTGTTGGTCTGCAACTCCTAAGCCATTCAATTTGAGACTTCTAGAGGCATTGCAGTCAACACATATGGAAAAGAATTTGTGAAATGAACAGAACTTATTAAACAGTTCCATCTCCAGAATAAAAAGTTTTTTACTGTGTCAGTTGCCCTTCTTTTCTGAATTCCACATACAATGGTAACCGATGTTTGACATCTTATAGTTTAAGACAATTCTTATTTAAAGCCTCTCAACTAAAAATATGATAATAAGACTCAGAATAGGTAGATGTAAAAAAGAAATGCCTGTCAAATTTTAGATGTCAAAATATTAAAAATCTACATTTGCAATGCCAAACTGTTGTAAATATTCTCTATCACTGAGAACATTCCAGAAGTCTGATATGAAAGGCTACAATTTTTGAAGGATCAACATTTCCTAATGGCTGGCAGTCTGTACTCACTCACAAACGCGCACAGTATGTGGGTGCTCAGAACCTCCATGCTTGTCAATGGAGACGGAAAACCCCCGCTTGCTTTCGGAACATGCTGGAATAGACACCAGGGTGACAGTGTGTGGAATCCGGGTGCCAGGAGATTCTGGAAGCAGCTGATCCATCACAGGTGTCACCACCATCTGGTAATAACAGTGCCCACTGCAGCAGGGAAGAAAAGGTACTATAAGCTAGGACATCCATTTCCAAACCCAAGGCTACCACTGGAAACTGACTGAAGAATGTTTTAAAAGCTTGCTGAGAAGCACCAATATGTCTCCTATGAAGGAGGTAACCCTCCCCCCCCCAAAAAGAAAGAAAACAAAAGAAAGAAAAAATGAATAAGAATAATCATTTTTCTTTTTTTCTTTCTTTTCTCTTTTTCTGTATACTTTTTATTCTTTTTTCTTTACTATCCCTTCTTTCTGAGTTTAGTTTCTTTATAATTATTGTTATTAGAACTTTCAAAGTGAGCATACTGAGACTTCTCTCTCTCTCTCTCTCTCTCCCCCTCTCTCTCTCCCTCCCCAAGTGTGTCCAATCTAATTTAAGGGCCTTTGTTGTGAATTTAAAATTAAGGAAGATCCCAATGACCTGGTTCAGCCAAATTCTCACCAGTAAAGCTTGGATCGCTCCACCAGTGCATAAGTATCTCCATCGCCAATGAACACCTGGCAGTTCAGGCAGCTGAAGCATTCAGGGTGATATTTTTGTTCCCCAGCCACCTGGAACAAGAAGAGATAGACATGAGTTCTTGTCTCTCTCCCAATACATACTTCTCAATCACCATTTTTCAGGTGGTCCTTCCCACTATCCAGCAGTGTCATAGAGCTCCTGTTCAAAGGAAGAGTGGAAAGAGGTCTAAGATTATTCAGTCCCGAAACTCAACATAAGCAGGCTCAGGCAATGATATTCAGATCCAGGCACTTCACACCACCAGAGAAAGAGATTTCTGGAAATCACTGAGAGGATGATGAAAGGATCACATCTCAAAGAAAGACACACAGGTCGGACTCCAGGCCCATGTAAGAGCAGAAGAGACTGGAGAGAAGAGGCAGATTGACAATCATCCCTGAATCAAAAAATATTTGGGTAATCCATTAATTAACGAAACATTCGGTTGGCACAAACTAAACAAACTAAACTTGCCCAAACTTGGCCAGTGGGTTGGACTAAAAGACCTCCAAGGTCCCTGCCCTAGGATTTTATGAACAGATTCAACTGGGTTACTGATTAATCCATTTTGAGTTCACACAGCACATGGATTTATTTATTAACTATTTTAATACAACATAGACTTCTAGAGACTCCTGGTGGTTTGTAGAATAAAAATACAAAAACTCAAATAAAATCTGCCTTGTGGCATCAAACTCCAGCATTCTCCTTCTTCTTCTTCAAACTTTTTAAAGTGTTCAGTCTTCTGGAAAATGGTTAGGGAAAATACCAAACAAACCTCAGGAGGAAAAGTGTTGCGAAGCATATGCTAAGCAGTAATGAGTTCTTCTTCCTTTCTGGGAGTGAGACTTTTAACAACCCTCTTTAGGCTGAACAAATCAGAGGGTCAGTTCTGTTTGGTGTATGTGGTCCTTCAGATACATGCCAAACCATGAAGATGTTTTAGCTTACAATCAGCAGTTTGAATTGTTCTTGGAAGCCAGTGCAGAGTTCACAGCACCATTGGGCTCTGGTAAAAGCTCTGATGCTGGGAAAGGTGGAAGGAAAGAGAAGAAGAGGGTGACCAGCCGCAAGGTGGCTAGACTCAGTTATGACACTGACGGTGCACCATTGGAAGATCTGAAGGACTACGCTGGGACAGATTGTTATTGGAGAAAATCTATGTGGTCGCTAAGAGTCGACACCAACTTGATGGCACATAGCAATCAATAACGCCGAAATTAAGTGTGATTATGTGATTATGATGTCAGCCCATCACCTACTGATGTCCCACTTCTAAGTCAAGATTTATCCATACTCCAGATTTTCTTCCTCAACGCTCAGAGCTTTTGTTTTGATTAGAATTCTACCTGAAGGCACTTCTCTCTCTGCAAGAGTCCCTTGCACTTTCATGATTTCCTTTACAGCTGCTGATAGCCTCATGCTATCAGCAGTGTTTCACTCCTGGGCAGGTCACCATATGCTGCTTGCAACTGCATCTCAACGTTCTGGGTAATACTTTTGCACTTCATGATGAGCACGAGCTCCGCTATCTTGGAATTCCAACTGCCTTTTCTTCTCCTAATTTTTTCTTTATGAAGTCTGAAGTACATCCATAAGACCAGCATCTTAAACTGCATTGGACGTATTGCCTCCTTGCTTCTCCAACCTGTTTAACCTTTTCAGCTTTTGGCAACCAGACATCTGTGCCTGGTGAAAACTAAGTAGGCGCTTTAGGTACTCCCGATTCAGAATAATATGGAATATTATCCCTACATATTTAAAATTACTATTGTACTTTCCATATTGACTTTCCTCAGCATTTTACCTCTCATTTCTCATTACCCACAGACCAAATTACTACCATGCCGTAATTCATTCTCCCATTTTTAAAATCTATATCCATGTGCTCCAAATGCTAAATGCCACGTTTTGGGTTCACAATTAATTCAATTTGTTGATTTCCTTCTCTGCCTTTTCTAAAGGCTTTCTCTGTCAGTTTTCTCCATATTGTCCATAGTTTCATTCCACAGCCTGTTGTTTTCTGTGTTACTCAAAAACATCAATCTCTCCTCAATTTCTGCAAGACACCGCTGACTGTAGGAACACTCACACAATTATGCTCATTCTGGGATTGACCAACAGTGCATTTCTCTCCCTTTTAGGGTTTGGTGGTTTCCCGAAGTCTCATCACAACTTCTTTAAAAAAATTTAAAGATAGTGTTTCCCTTTACCACAGAAACAGTTTGATTCTTTATTTACAATCCCTTTTAGGTTCTATCGAAATTTCTTAATTTTCTGTTATATTCTCATAACCTTATAGCAATCTCTGAGGATAGAGTGCATCTCACATTGAACAAAAAATCTCTGGCACCAATTTAAGGGGTTATTGTTTGTTTCTTGTCAAGTAGTTTATTCTTCCCCTTTTGGGGATTCCTGTGTTGAACATGAATCATCATTGTGTCAAGCATTGGCCCACCTCATCTCTATATATGATTTGTTGGTACTAATCCATCACAGGGGTAACGCTGTGTTCAAAAAATAATATTATTACATAGCTTAAAAAGGCCTCTAATTAAACAAAATGTCGATACTTCGATCTTCTCTATCTGCCGTGCTTATTACCGTCCATTTGACCCTTCTGCTGATTTCAGCCATTTGTAAATTTATTATTTTAAAATGTTATCCTAATAACACCACTACTATTATTTATTTGTAATTATGGCATTTTTAATTAGATGCATTTTAAAATATATAATGTATGTATTTTTAGCAATATGTATGTATGTATGTATGATGTATGTATGTATGTATTTTTAGCATTTCTGACTATGAAAAATCACATGATTATGCCCACTGCTTGATTAGGCTATTTTGATCACCATCATTTTTTAGTCAGTTATTATGATGCTTATGTTGCTAGCAAGATCCAATTTAAGCTGGTCATTCCCAGTTAGATCTCAATTTTCGCTTTTTCTGTGATTACCCATTATGGAACAAGGAATGGTGCTTTACTTAGAAAAAAACAGCTATGTGTATATTTGGTGCGTTTTGCTGAAATTAGATCACTGAGTACATACTTTTTTTTTTTTTAAAAGTTTTTTATTAGATTTTTTATATACATTATAAATAACTCAAGGCAGTGAGATACCTACTATTCGTCTCTCCTATTTGAGAACGATAAATCTATCAAGTGAGTTGGCTTGAGAGGTGCTTGGCCCAAAGTCACTTATCCAATTTTTCCTGCCTAGACAGGACTAGAATTCCTCTCCCTGCGTTTGCTAGGCCAGCATCTTACCCCACAGAAAGTAGCTCTTCCCAGAAAAGAGTAAGTCAATTGGACTTTGCATTTATAATAACTGGAATTTGAGACTCTGGTGCTTCCTTTCCTATATTACTCTTATAAAAATGAATAGTTTTCAAAGCAACTGTTTTTCCTTGGACATGCTAACCTGTCCATGAAGGTAATGCTTTTGTGAGGAGAGATACTTTGCAAACAAACTTGAGTGTAATTAGCAATACGTTTTGTAGTAAGAACTGAGTTAACTAACAAATGCACAATAAGAATAAAGAACAACCAGGAAACTTAGTGAAATATGGGAAAGACCGCCTTTGGTCTTATAAACACAAAGAGAACAAAGCTTGATTAAAAGCAGAATACAGCTGGTGCTGGAACATGCTGTGGGGAACAATGCTTATGCTCTCCTCTGTGCCATTTTCCAGATTCTTACCCTGCAAAGCTGTTTAAAGCTCTGAAGGGGGGGGGGAAGGCATATCCTGTTCACATCATCACTTCGCACCTACATGACTTTGTTGGTTTATGATTGTGTGCCAAGGATAGTCTATAATGTTCCTTCCAATTCATGTCTCTTTTTTCCACTGTTGCATTTAAGTAACCAAATTACCAAATAAACGGATTTAAGGAGATCTATCTCAGGCAGTAGCCTCCCATACAATTTTTTTTGTCTTACTCTTGACAGACTCTTGTCAAGCTAAGGTTGACACCCACATCCCTCGGCAAACATCCACATCTCCTCCTCCTCCCCCCCCCCTCCTCCTCCTCCTCCTCTATTATGTCCTCTTCACTCTTTTTTCTCCCATTTCCTAAAGAAGAACTGAAAACCATTAGAAGACCTTTAGATTGAAGGAGGAGGACCTGTCCCTATTCCCCTTGCAATTGGCTGCAGTCTTTCTGAAGTAGCAGCATCCAGCCCCCTCCAAAAAGTCATGATTTGGTTACATGCAGTTCTGAATCCGTCCAAAGGAGCATTCTTGCCCCTATTTCCACTCAGTAGCCACAGACAGAGGAAAAATATTCCGGATAGCCCCTAAAATCAAGATGCCCAATCACTTTATCATAGCATACAATCTCTTAATCAATCCAATTCCCTTTAAAGATGACCCCTGAACTGTCTGACGAAAGACAACTTATTAAATACAGGAAATAATAGTCACTGGAATTGTTAATTTCACGAAATCATGTTCCATTTACCATTTAATTATAATAAACATGCTGAGTTTGTGCCATGGCCCTAGTTACTTTCTTTTTCTGTCACCACTGATTGCTTTTGGATTGTGATCCACTTGCACTGTTGCCCCCTGCCCCTGCAAAAACTTATGTAGTAAATCAGTTCTCATCCATAATGCTCTCCTGTGGATGTCCTCTCTTACCATGCCCAGCCCTTGGTCTCGCTCCACCAGCCATGGCCACATTCCCCCAAGTGGTCCCAGTAAATCCTTTTTGTCAGTAAAAGACGACCATCCTTCTCGGTAGTACTGATGGAAGCAAGCCCCACATTCGCAGCACCTGCAGGGACAATAAGAAAATAAGTCTTCAGCCTCAGGACTTTTAATGGAGACCTACTGTAATGCAGAGCTTCCAAAACACCAGAAGCTTGAAGAGGCATAATCCCACAGGTTCAGTATGGGTTTATGTTTGCCCACATCTTACTTTAGAGTGCTACCAGTACCAATTTAGGTCAGACCAAATATTCTGGATTTGGCAGTACAATGCTTGTTAGGATAAGAGCCACCGAGTTGGAAGAAAGAGAAACCTTTTTGATTCCTCTGGCACTGCCTTGTTCTGTGCAACCGCATCTGAAGTCCTTGTGTTGTCTTACTTCGCAGTGGCCTAATTCTCTGTTGCTTTACATGGATCAATGAGTGCAATTGGCTCTATTTGAGCCCATTTTGCTTAGAGGGTTGTTCTACGGCTGCCAAGCTTTAGCAGTAAGATTTTTATAACACAAACTGTAATATTTTTTTCCCCACCACATATCTTATTTCCTACAATACGTGCTTCCTTGGAAGACCACTAGCAGTTGCAGGAAGAACTAGTCTAGAAGTGTGACGCCCAAAAATTGTGTATATATTGTGTGGATATTTGTGTGACCCGATGTCTATTTCTGGATTCATGCAATTTTCTGACCTAGGGAAGCTGCTTCTGGCTAAGGATTTTTCCAGAATTACTTTGGAACAGAATGGTCCCCCAGATCTTGAAGTTTAACACTTTTGGGGTTTCAACCACATCTGGTCTTGAAATTGACCCAGAAATCACATTTAACTGTGTACGTGTGTCCCAAATGCAATATTTTATGTCATATCATAATATGCTCTGCAAGCTAAGGGGGACGCAAATTTAAATGGCTAAACGCATTTGACCATACGTTGCTAGGCAAGGCAGTGTGAATTTACCATTGTGAGATGATTAAGCCAAATCTTCTTTTGTGGATTGGGCTATAGTTTCTGCTTTCTTGGACTTTTTAATAATCCATCTGGGCATCCTCAAGGACTGCATACTGATCAATCCTGATCAAATTTAATAAGTAGGGTAACTCTACACATAGGTGGCCCTGTACATGAAGTTATTTATCTAGATGGGAGGATTATTTTCCTAAGTTGACTTTTCCTTTCACTCAGTGAGGGTATCCATGCCATAGAAGAAGAACTTTATGCTTCTCTGAATCCTTTTTCTGAAAGTGACCTTCAGTGGCCCCCATGAAGCAGAGGATACGAGGGCATATTTGAGTTACAATAGAATATTCTTCACTTATTACTATAACTAATTCATGGCCCAAATTACAGGGAGGGACTCTAGATGTCTTTAATATGGGATTGGAAAAGTTAATGGAGATCAACCCAACATAAAGTTCTTTGTGGACTAAGGAACCTCCATTTCTAGAATATATATATATTATATATACTATCTATAATATATTATATATATATAATATATATATATATATATATATAGATATATATATATATATTCTAGAATTGAGGTTCCTTTAGTCCACAACTGGTAATATTCAGAAGTACTTCTAATTCCATCTTTTGCTGATATTTATATTGCAGGGCCCAGACAGGCATAGCTCCAATGGGGATTTCTCCTGAAGAGAAGAAGAAATGACACAGAAGATTTTCACGTCCTATTTAGATCTGGCCGTTGCCAAAATCTCTATTTTTTTCTTTTCTATCACTGTGATGCACAGTAAAAATCCCCATAAGACAAAAGCAGTTGTGGGCATTCCATTTCTGCCACCCTTCTCTGTGCATTAATGATTCCCTGTTGAGTGGTTACCGCATCAATTCTGGTTGGTGCAGTTACAAGTAGCTACTTGGTCCGCTCACCAGTGAGACACTGGTGAGGGGGCACAGCACACCGGCATTTTCTGCATCCGCATGAGAAAAGCATATCTTCCTTCCCCTGTCCTTACCCTATCTACAGAGGGACCGAATCGAGAGCATCCTGTCATGCAGCATCACAGTCTGGTTAGAAGCTCACTGGCTTCAGTACAGGAAGGAAGTGCAGAGTTTTGGTGAGATGGCTGAAAGACAGATGCGTTGGCAGTGCCCTCCCTTCCATCCACGACATAGCACATAACGTTGCTTGAGCAGGGTCCGCAAGATTTGCTGGGATGCTACACATCCTCTTCACAACCTGCTGTTTTCTTCTTCTTGTTACCTTCGGGAGGAGGGGCTCCGTGGTATCCAAAGCAGAACATCCAGATTCAGTCACAGCTTTGTTCCATACCGTATTAACCTGTGACTCTAAGGCTTCCTCCTTCCATTAAGTATTCAACGATGGACGTGTTAATATTTATGTTACATATGTTAAGGGTGTATGTAGGTCTATACATATGTTGTATATGTATGGTTTTTAAATTTGTTTTATGTATGTTACACTTTGAGAGGAAGCAACTAATTTCATTTTCATATGTGCCATTTGTGCCGCAGGAAAAAATGACATAAAGGTATCTAATCTAATCCATCTAATCTCATCTAAGCTGTTCTGTATACTGAGGTAAGATAAGGTTACAACCAGAAGCTCTTCCAAAAATCAACAGAGACCATCTTCTCCATCATTTTGAACCACTGTCACCCTTCAATAAAACTCTCCAGTAATCTTTGGGTCAGAAAGTGTCAAAGTGGTTCAGGCACCAAACTAACCTGTGGAATATTATGCTGGTCTATGACCATAATATTGTCTTGTTTTGCTTTACTTGTGATAACCTGGGCATACTGTGTCTTTGACTCCCTCCCATTATTTTTTGTAAACCAGCTGATCCCAAGGTGCTTTTCAAAAAGGCAACTGAATTTCTTTGTTTTTCCTTTAAGACCTGTTCGCTTCTCCTCTAAGAAGCTTTCCTCAATTCGGACTGAAGCAGCTTCTCATGAGAGTGAAATGTCTGAAACCAGCTGGAATATTGAGGACTATTAAAACTTGAAAGTTCAGTGTAACTTTTGCGATATTTATATTTCAACCAAAACCTTCAAATATTTCAATATTCTCTCCTAAGATCATTGAAGTTTCTCTAGAGATTTATGATCTAGCTTTGGACATACACCCAGTACCACAGACACAAACATACATATCCATGCATATGTACACTTTGGATGATCTATTACTAAGTGTAAAACCTATGAATTCTGGGAAATCCATTTTGCATATTGTCTAGAAGCATGTCAGCTTTTAGTACCACAGTAACCTGAGGGATTTTCAGTCATTTTCCAAAACTGCTTGTTTCTTGATTAAATAGAAGAGAATGTGGAAAATCCCAACCCCGGTTAAGTAGCTTGGATTCCTAACTGATCATAGCAATAGCACTGGCACTTAGACTTTACATACACTTCATGGGCTTTACAGCCCTCTCTAAGCGCTTTACAGAGCCAGCCTATTGTGGGGGTGTGGTATTGCGCCCCAACATTGGGTCCTCATTTTAACCCACCTCAGAAGATGGAAAGATAGTCCAACCCGTTGACTCATTGGAACAATCCGCAAGGATGCCTGATTTTTGTGTAGGAGTTAGCCGTACTAGCTCTCACTAGACATTCCTTTGAACAGTAGCCACTCAATATAAGGACGGTTATTAATAGTGACCAAATAGCGTTTTGACATCTGGTTGAGAAGCAAGCTAGGATTTGTCAGTATTGAGCTCCTTGGCTCGCTATCCTTTCCAGCATGAGGGACCGTTAGTCATGAGGTAGCTCTTGCCATGTGCACATTCCTTGCAGTCCTTATCTTCGCTTTCTGTGGTCATTTTGTGTATTTTTGGTGCTTTTTTGTTTCTCATCAGACATGCAAAGTAAAGCTTTTATTTTAATTTAACCTAGTATTTATTCCTTTTTAGCTTTTATTTCTCTTAATAAAGTAATGATATACAACCCTATTTTTTTTTTCCACCTTGCCTAAAAATGTGGCATTGTCTCTGGTTTGGAATGCAGTAAATTTTATTTACATTATTCCTTATGGCCAAACTGTTTGGTACTCATTGTTTTTGATTTTCCTTTGTTCTCCCAGAAAACCAATTAACACGATTATCAAGGTACCATGTACTTGCTTCTGATTATCCAGGTGCAAACATTCTCTGCTCATTTGAAGGCATCCCCTGCTCTTGGCTGTATTTTTTTCCAGCCCTTTGACCTTTAGCTTATTTGGAAATGGAACTGGAAATCAAGGAAATGTCTCAAATATCTTTCATATGCTGCTCTCAGCTCTGTCGCCTTTGTCTTGAATTCTCTGCTTAGCTCTGAATCAAATGACAAACTTGAATCTCTCTCTTCTCCCCCCCCACAATAGTTCCTGCTTCCAGTAGTTCCCAAAGACCAAGAAAATAGATCTGGGGCCTCATCGTCCGCTTAATGTGGTTTGTTTCATTTTGGCTCATCATAATATCGGAATCCAGTGACTGTGCTTGCAAAAAGGCGCATATCTTTTTACTCCAAACCTGGCTTTTATTAAAAATAATTTTTAAACATTAACAGAAGTCACAGTAAAAACCAATGGTGGACATTTCCATAAGGGGTTGGCATGGTATTTCCTTCTGCCCCCCTCCCCCCAAGTTGGAGATTGACTCAATATGATACATTATGGCTTCAATTTGATTTAGCCTCCCCTGAAAAGTATGCGGTTTACATTATGATTTACCTCATTGATTTTTGATGACAGTGCCTAGGAGTTTTCTAAATGGTGTGGATTCACCCAACTTATTTTATGATTCATTTGGAGTAAAATGTAGCCTAAATTAACCAAATGGCTGATTTCCCACACAATAAGCTACAAAAATAATTAAAAAGGTTAACATTAACCAAGCCCCAACCATCTTTATGAATTTATCTGCTGGGATTGACATTGGTTAAGTGATTATATGTCCTGCAATTGGGGTGTGCGTGGTGAGTGATTAAGGAACTGGACTTGTAATGGGGAAATCCAGCTCTGGGCCACCCTCACCACAGAAGCTCCCACTCTGAATCTTGGGCCATCACTCTCTATCTCTGCGCAAACCCACATCACAGGTTGTTACTACT